GACCTGGCATTCTGCTTGAACATGCACTGTTAGGTCACTTCCTCCAGTGGGAGATGAAGGTCTGCCCTCTGACCCCGGTGCCCCTCCCCACACACCTTACCTCCTGTTCCGTCCTCTGACCACAGCCCCCTTCCTGACAGGTCAGGGCGTCCAGGTGTCTAGTCAGAATTCATTAGGTTACCCACATATTTACCTTTCTAAAGACTCTGCATCTCTTTCTGCATCTCTGACCTTGCAGGGGACCATTTCCTTTAGCCTGAAGAACAGACACGCCTTAGTGTTCTCCGTGGTGTCCGTTTGTGGGCAGTAAACTCTAATTTGTCTGTCTGAAATGTCTTTATTTTTGCTGGGTATAGAACTTTAGTTGGGCATTTATTTCTTAGCACTGTAAAGATCACATTCTGTTGTCTTCTCAGTTTTTTCCTTTTTTGTTGAGAGGTTATCTGCCACTCTTTACTCTGTGGGAGGTGATCTGTTCATTTTCTCGGCCTCTCTGGAGATTTTGTCTTCATCTTTGGTTTTCATAGTTTTACCATGATAGACCTAGAATGAATTTTCTTTGTGTTTATCTTGCTTGGGGTTCTAGGGTTAATAGTGGTTCTGTAATCTGTAGTTTTTGTAGAATTTTTGGGTCACTTTTGGAAAAAGTCTCAGCCATTACTTCTTCAAATATTGCTCTTCTCCACTTCTCTGTCCCCTGTGCTTCTGGGACTCCATTCATCTGTAAGTCAGCCCATCTCACGTCATTCTTCCTGTCCCTGACCCTGTCTTCTTTTACTGTCCTTTCTAGTTTGGGTATTTTTTTGACCTATATTCCACGTCACTAATTCTCTCTTCAGCGGTGTCTTCTTTGCCATTAAACACATCCATTGAACTCTTAGTTCTTGTGTTTTTGTCTCTATGAATTTCTATTTTTTTATAGTTTCTATATCCTTGTCATAGTTTTCAGTCATTTCTTTTACCTCTTTGGGCATGATAAGCACAGTTTAGAGTCTGTGTCTAATAATACCATTACCTAGAGCTTCTGTAGTTCTGTTTGTAAAGGTCTGGATGTTGGGTATGAAAATCTACAGAAATACAGTGAAGCCTGGAAACGTGTCCTTTCCCAGAGAGTCTTTCCATGTGCTTCTGGTCGGCGGCCTGGGGCTGGCCGCCTGGGGCACCTCCCTCCCGTTTCAAGATTGGAGGGGCTCAGCACTGGCTTCAGCCAGGTACCCTGAATTTTATGCTTATGTCTGGGGATTGGTCTTTTGGCTTCAAAACCCATTGTGAGGGGTTTCCTGGTTTACCTGCAGTGGCTCTGGTCTCCAGGTTTGGTCCCGCCAGCCCTTGAAGACTCTGAGAAGCTCTGGTCCTCCTCTGGGTTTTGAGTGCCTGCTCTGGGATCACTGGTGCTGCCAGCAGCAGGTGCTCACTCCTGGGGTTGGCTTGTAGTTCTTTAGTCCCTTGGTAGCTAACCAGTGACTTTAAGCACATACTGTTTGTTTTTAATTTTGTCTGTCTTTTTAAAAATGTTGCCTTAGCTGGTGGGTTGGTCTGAGTTACCTAGTCTGTTACTTTTTAAAACCTTTTATTTTGAAATAATTATAGCCTCATGGGAAGTTATAAAATTAGTGCATAGAGCCCTTTGTATCTGTCACCCAGCTTCCCTCAGTGGCATCTTATCTTACAGTTTAGTGTCAAAGCCGTGACATTGACATGGGTACCACTCCATTAACTAGACTACAGACTCATCCAGTTTTCACGTGTGTTTTTGGATGGGGTGTGTGTGCGTCTGGTCCTATGCAGCCGTGCTTAGAGTTGTATAACCGGCTCCCTGGTCAAGATGCAGAACTGCTTGCTCAGCACGAAGGCCTCCCTCCTGCTGCCCCTTTTGTTCACCCCCCCATCCCCTGATGGCCACTAATCGGCTGTCTTTACAGTCTGTCGTTTCAAGAGTGTGTGTGAATGGGATCACGTGGTACGAAAGCTTTTGAGGTTGGACTTTTTCCATAAGAAGGATGCCCCGGGATCCCTCTGGATAGTTCAGTGTTAATAGGTTGTCCTTTTTATCCTACTGTCTGCTTGTACCAGAGTTAGTTTAACCATTTAGGGACATTTGGGCTGATTCCAGCTTTTATGAATAAGGCTGCCAAGACTATTTGCATACTGCTTTTTGTGTGAACCTAACTTTTCATTTCTCTGGGATAAATCCCCAAGAGTTTCATTGCCGAGTCACATGGTAACCATGTGTTTTGTAAGAAACTGCCAAAAGATTTCTAGAATGTTTGCACCATTTTACCTTCCCACAGGCAGTGTATGAGAGTTCCAGTTTCTTTGCAGCCTTGTCAGCACTTGGTCCTCTCACTGTTTATAACCTTAGCCATTCTGATAAACAGACAGTGACATGTCACTGTGGGTTCCATTTGCACGTCCCTGATGGCTAGTGATGTGGAACATCTTTTTGTGTGCTGTTTTTTTTAGCTTGATAAAATGCGTTTAAAATTTATATGCAGGTCAAATCTCTTAAGTTATTTTAAAAAATAGAACTTGGGTTTTCCAGTCCTTAAAACATACCGTAAAACTATTCAGAACAGAATGGCATTTTCTTAGGAGCAGGCAAAGAGATCGATAGAATGGAAGAGAGAATCCAGAAATAGATTCCAGTGTAAAGATATGGATGGGGTTTGATATGTGACAAAGAAGGCGTTTCCAACTTTGGGGAAGAGGGTAGCTTATTGACTGAATGACAGTGTCCCAAACGGCCGTGGGGAAGAGAGTAAAATTGTGTCCCTACCTCACACACATCCAAAACTAAACTTCTGATTAACTGAAATCTTAAGTACAAAAAATGTAATTTAAAAAACTTCAAAGAAATTTCAGGAGACATTCATTATAGTATAACGTCTGTTCCTAAAAAACTTGTTAATTTGGAAGTTTTCAAATCTACACAGAAGCAAAGAGAAATAGTGTAACGAGCCCCATGTCTGTCCTCCGTCTTCAGTGAGTCCCCATATTTGCTACTATTGTTTTATTTGGTCCCTGAACATATTCCTTCCAGGGCCCTCCCCCGCCCCCCCGAACTGTAAAGCAGATCCAAACACCACGTTACAGTAAGACTTCATTGGATAGTTTGAACTGGGAAGGACTCTTTTTTTTTGAGGAAGACTGGCCCTGAGCTAACATCCATGCCCATCTTCCTCTACTTTATATGTGGGACGCCTACCACAGCATGGCTTGATGAGCAGTGCCATGTCTGCACCCGGGATCCAAACCGGCGAACCCTGGGCCGCTGAAGTGGAATGTGTGCACTTAACCGCTGTGCCACCGGGCCGGCCCAGAAGGACTCTTTTTTTCTGCGTGTTTTTCTTTGTTTTATTTTTGGCTCTTGGCACAGAACCACCTAGCAGAATTGACAGTAGTTCCACTACTAGAAACTAGCAAGAGAAAATAATGTTTGTTTAATAAATATTAAAAGCTTTTGTATAGAAGAATATACCATGTGTAAAGTCAGTAGACTAAGTACAGATTTAGAGGAAGTACTTGTATTGCAGTTGAAAGATAAATTATTATTCATAGGCTGCAAAGACTTCTTAAAATTGCCCATCCAATTGAGAATAGGGCAAAGCAGAATATGGACATTTCACCTGAGTGCGTGGTTGTGGTGTCTATGGCTGTGTGATCCTCTGAGCATGGAGGATGCCTGGGAGCTCGCCGTCCAGGTCACCTTAGTGCCCGGATCCAGGCTGGAGCTCGGTTACAAGGAAGGGGTGTCCGTACAAAGGCAGCGTGTTCGCTCGCTCCTGTGGAGGTGTGTTGGGGGTACTTGGCGCATGCACAGCTGAGCAGTAAGGGGTGACCGCCACAATGTCAGTGGCAACTTTTTCCATCTTACATTTTTCTGTAGTGTTAGAACTTTTTCAACAAAGATGAATTTATACAATTGAGAAAAACCACTAAAGCTGTTTTCACTTTAGTGTAACAGGAATGGTGGGTGCAGAGGCCGCACTCTTTCCGTATTATGTGTGGGCAGTTCAAGAAGAAGACTTTTGTGTAGGCACTTTAGGAGGAGCGTGAGTGTCTTGCTGGGAAGTACAGGGGGCTGTCCCAGGTGGGTGGGGGGTGGGGGTGGGGGGAGGGCGGGTCCTGGGTGTGGTTCCGATGGTGGGCATGGCCATACTCTGCCCCTCCTCACTGAGGCGCTGCCCCTCAGGGTGGGCCTCTCCTGCTGGGCTCCCCATGCAGACGTCGGGCCATGCATGGTGAGGCTGCCAGCCAGAAGCTCAGGGTCCTGGTATTTGATCCCATGTTTCCGGTTTCCTGTGCAACGGGCGGGTCTGTAACCTCTTGGTTACATTGGACTGTATCTCTGCCGTGGAAGTGTAATCATTTCTCGATTTAAAAATGGACACTGGGTTATTCATAGTCAGGTGCTTACCAGAGCTTCCAGCACTGCAGCTAGTCCAGGAACCATCCTGCTGGGGATAATAAGCAGTACTTTCTCTGCTGACAGCGTGAGCTCCTGCTCTTGGTCTGACTCGGTCCCAACCCACGGTGGACCCCCGGGCACTCACCTGTCTGGCCCCTGGCAGACCCCAGGATGGTCACCTGTCTGACCCATGGTGGAACCCCCAGTGCTCACCTGTGATAGGAGTGCTTCTTCCATCCTTGGAGACCCTTTTTCTCCCATGTGAGCATACTGCGCCGTGGTCCTCGTCTCAGGCAGGTGCCTAATGCTCTGCCACAGCTCCTGGTCACTTGTAGGTGTCGATGACCTCGCTAGCCCACGAGTCCTCTGAATCGCTACTCGTCCCTGGGGATTCGTGTTGGGGTCTGTAGCTGAGGAGATGCCCAGGGCTTGCTCGAGGGCTGGCTGGATAGCAGCACTGAGGCATGTGGAGTGGGCGGGGGTGCTGGGAGGGGGCTTGCTGCTGGACGTGCAGGACTCAGACACAGCAGGGTAGGTGCTGTGACAGGCACTTTTGGAGAAATGACATTGAATTTATCCTTTTTCTTCCTAGTGTGCGTTTTAATAGAAAACTTGTCCCTTTCCAAAATGCCCTTCAGAGGTGATGCTGTAATCGGTAAGTGTTTTTCTTGTTCAGTAACTCACCTTGCAGCATTTTCTTCCAGAACTACTTCCAATTAAAAAGTAAAAATGAATCTGTTAGGATAGATGATAAAGTCTCATGATATTAAATACCTTGTTTTGAAATTACTACACGAACCCAATGTAAATCATGAGCGTCTGTCACACTCTTCCCTCCTCAAAAAAAAGAGAATCTTTCCCTTCCTTCCTCAGACCTCCTAGCTGTGCCTCTGCCCGTCACAGCCGCGCCCAGTGCTGGACGTTGTTGTCTGTTCCTCTCCCGATGGACAGTGCAGGCCCGAGTGGCATAGATGCTCACGGGACTAGAGCAGCATTGGCAGCAGGCGCCAAGGCCTCGCAGGCAGGACGTGCGAGAACCAGCTCTCGCGGCAGCGGCTGGGCCCCCATGCAGGCCCAGAGCCCCTCCGTGTTCTGTGGCAGCTGGCCACAGTGAGGCAGTAAGAAAGGGGCCTAGGTCACCTTCACCACTGGCTGTCTTTGCTCTGCAGCCTTAGAAGTCTGGTGACTGAAAAAAAAATAAAAACTGGATAGACTGAGCATTTGTTGCCACGTGTTGGGTATAATTGAGTTGACTGCTGGGTTCTTATTGTTGGGCCCTGGGCAGTGTCTGAGGGGCAGGTACAGGAGAAGACCACCTGAGGCTTGCAGGTGCAGTAAAAGAACAAAGGTTGTCCCGTGTAACAGTTTTGGCATTTCAATGGCCCAGAGAAGACTTGCTCCCTTTAGACTGCGAGGCCTTCAGAATGCTGGACGCCCTGGGGAGGGTTCGCTGTAGGTTTCCTCCAGACTTTGATTTAAGAGGCAGAAGGAGATCTGTTTGTTGATGTTTGTAATTTCATCTAAATATTCTTAATCGAGTAAATAAATTTCTTTGTCTCTTTAACAGATGGTTGGCAGTGGCTGATAAATGACACTCTGAGGAATCTCCATCTTATTTCAAGTCATTCTAAACAACAGATTAAGGTGCGGGAAGCACGATTTCTCCAACTGTTGCATTACAGAAAGTGATGTTAATTATTGTGTTTAGTGTTTGTTTGAAAGGACTAGTGTGATAACTGGTAAATGGCATATTTAGAGTTCTATATGGCATTGTCTGTGTAATTATAATCAAGGAAACAAATGCAGCTGTTGGTGACCAGAATATTTAAAATTTTTAGTAGTATTTCTGGTTTTATCATATTAACCTTCGGAGCTATTTTTATATATATTGATAGTAACTATTTGGTTAGTTGAATTTGTGCAGTGTCCTGTCGAGCTGTAGGATTTTAGGGAGGGATCTTCACACCTGATGCTCATGTGCAGATGAGAACCCACAGTCCAAGATCGGCCCGCGGATCAGTGTCGGTCATTTTGAGCAAGCAAGAGAGTGTGTGTGGCCGAGTGCCACTGCTGTCTTGTTCCAGGACAGGGGGCCCTCAGACCAGCACACCTGTAACACTCAACCCCTTCCAGAGATGAGAGCTTGGGTGTTGATGACAGCTAGGCTTTGACACTGAGGATGGAGAAACGAAATACATAACTGGTCTCCTTTATAACTCTCCAGCCTCCTGTGTCTCTTAGCATTTCTGCTGGGTTGATAGGATGCGTCTTCAACGTCCTTTTTTTTTAAGTGACTTTATCATTCTGTTGAATCCGAGTACAGTTTCACTAGTTGAATGTGAGTGCCTCATGATCAGGGCTTCAAAATTTCCTTTTTAAGACATATCCATCATTGATTCACACTGGCAGTGGCCATGGTGCAGTGCTCTAATTGGTACCAGTGACATCTGGTGTGATGCTCCATTCTGTGGGCCCTCCCCGTGCTCACAGCCCCACACTGCCAGCCCAGCACCCCTCCCGCGCCTGCTGCCTTGGCCTCAGCTCCCTGATTTGGGGTAGCAGTAGAAGGAACACAGGAGCCCAGCGGGTCTGCTGTTGCTGTCTGTGTGGTCACGCGAGGCCCATGCCAAGCTCTGGCTCCTCCTCTGTGGGCAGCAGAGGTTTGAGGAGAGGGCCTGTGCGGCCCCGTATGCCACGTGAGCTCAGTGGCTACCATCATGTTGGCTCCCCACACTCTCCTCAGCTCTCCTCCATCCTGCTCTGCGGCTCCTGGGGCTCCTGGTGGCCCGCGGGATTGGCGCCTGAGGAACTCACAGCCCCTCCTCCTCGTCCAGCCCCTTCCCGTTCCCACTGCCCCTGAACTCCTGACTCCTCTAAATGAGGCCTGTACACGGCTCGCCTAGAGTCCTTGCCCACGTTACTTCAGGTGTGTAACACACTTTATCCTTCATTCTGCTGGGAAAGAAAACATGCTCCATTTTGTGATTAACTATTCACGTTAGAAGATGTGGGATTGTATTGTGTGGAAGAAACAATCAAGGTCTCTGTTCGATTTACTAGCACGGCCCCCTCACATTCTGCCTTGCTTTAGGATGCGGCTGTCTTGGCCCTGGCCGCTCTCTGCAGTGAGTACTACACGAAGGAGCCTGGGGAGGTGGACCCCGCCCGGCAAGGTGAGTGGATGTGGAGCAGTGGACCCTCAGACCCTCCAGGAAGCTTGGGTGCGCAGGGTGGGGGTTTCTGCCACTCCCTCCTGCGGCAGTGTGGATGGGGTCTGGGGAGGGAGAGTGCTGGGCAGGTGAGTGCAGCCCAGGGCCCGAGCCGGGTGGTCAGCAGAGACAAGGATGGGCGGTGGGCAGTGGACACGGAGGTGGGGGCTGTGGGGCTGCGTTGTGGCGTCGCGCCCTCGGCCTGTCCTCTCGCGTGCTCCAGCTGTGCAGAGCTTCTCTTTTGCTCTGAACAAGTGGCTTCGCTAGGCCGTGTCCTGCATAGGCTGCACCACGTCAGCCTTTCCTGGACATGGTGCTGCTGTTAATTATGTAAAATCAACTTAGTTTTTAGCAGTGTTTGCTTAAATTAGGTTTTTAAGTGAACTTCCCCGTTTTGTGCATGGGTGCTCTGGTCACACTTGAGGGCTCCTTGTCTTTCCCCGTGTAGACCCTTCACCGTCCCACGTGTTTCTGCCCCCTTTGTCCCCTGTGTTCCTGGTGTCTGTTCTCCAGCTCCTTCACTTCTGTTGTCGTGGTGACTCTTTTCTGACCCTTGTTCCCTAGGTCTGTCAGCTCAGAAGTGTCTGCTTCTGTCTCACCAGGTCCTCCTGCTTCCAGGAGGAACTTAGAGTCTCCCTGGAGTCTTTATTCATGTCAGTGATTACGTCATGGGCTTTTATGTTTTATGGTAAAATGTGCTTTCAGAATTTTCCTAGCCACTATGGCCGCGTTTTCCTGGTGAGTGTCCTTCACGTGTTAACACATTTTGCTCTTTTCCTCTTTACGAAAACAGTGTCCGTGCAGCTGCCTTGCTGCGTCGATTGGGTTTCCGGCATCACCTCTATCTGGAGTTTATCTGATACACCATATGATACTGTTTGTAGGGTCTAGTTCATTAGCATCATTTTTTATATTAAAACGCTTCACATTCACATGTTAGGTTGCCCTGGGGGTTCCTTCATATCATTTTACAGAACACATATTACAGTTGTTTCAAAAGTATACCAGAGACTGGCCCGGTGGCATAGAGGTTAAGTTTGTGCGCTCCGCTTCAGTGGCCCAGGGTTCGCAGGTTCAGATCCCGGGTGTGGACCTATACACAGCTCATCAAGCCATGCAGTGGCAGCATCCCACATACAAATACAAAATAGAGGAAGACTGGCACAGATCTTGGCTCAGGGACGATCTTCCTCACCAAAAAAAGAAAAAATATATATATATATATACATGAAACACTATTTTAAATAAGGGTATAGAAATGTGTGCAATAGTCTAAATCTACTTTGTGATTTTTTTCAAAAATAAGAAAACATTCTGTAATTTCATCTTCTGACAGACTTTCTGACGAGGATTATTTTAGGCTGGTTACTTTGAGAAGGGGGCTCTGAGGAATGGAATTTGCTTGCCCTTTGATGAGAGACATTTGCATTTGTGAAGGAAGTCTCCATCTGTGGGGAATGTCTTCCTCTCTGCACCAGGAGGAATCGGGGATGACCTTATCTCTGGAAACTCTTGATGGGGAAGTCAAGAACTTAAGTTGTTCACTGTCTGGCAACCTCATGTAACTGACCACCCCCCCCCCCCCCCCCCCCCCCCCCTTGTCTTTAGCTGAAGATAATATTTAAGCTGTGGCTTCTGCCATTTACTTAACCCGGTTTGATTCTTATCTAAAAGTTATAGGACCACCCAATACCCAGACCCTACAGCACTGATACCATTTTAACAACTCTTTTTACATATTCTTTCCTTTGTCTTGTAAAGAGATAACTCACATACCTATGCCTTAAATTTAGCCCTACCCTCAACTCATTTTTTGCAGCAGCAGCTCTTTACTGCCTGTGGGTCCTGTCCCCATGCTATTCCACATTATTCTCTAAATAAAAGAGCAGTACTGCCAGACCTTGAGAGTCCAAGAAATCTTTCTTTCGACTCCTTGGCTCACCGACCCCGCATCATTTCCACATTAGTGTTGTTTTACTGTATCCCTTTACTAACGTGGGTAGTATTACATAAAGAGACAGTGACCTTATTTTGTATTTGGTCTATTTTTAACATTGGGATGATAAGGTCGTGTTTTACTTTTTGCCTAAGAAGAGAGGACCACATCATATCACTCTGAATATAAAAAAACAGATTCTGAAATTAACCTTTGACATGTTGAGACTCAGTGAATTGTGAAGAGGATGGAGGTGACTTCTCCTGCTGCCACTGACGTGTATCATCGTGCGTTCCACCCAGGATATCATGCTAGTGCATGTGCACGTGGACTCCAGCTTTATTGTTTTCTATCCTAATATTTGAGGGTCTGAGGAGCACACTATTGAGGTTTTCATGGACATGTGTTGAAAAGTCATGGTTGGTTGAAGTTTAAGCACTCACAGCAAACGTCTTTCGTGACAGCAGGGGGGACTCATCAGCGCTGTCGGCCTCCCTTCGCCTCCCGAGCTGCGTTTTGAAGGCAGATCTGGCAGTTCCACTTCCCTCCTCACAGTCCCACGATCCCGCCCTGAGCCCTGAGCCCGCTCCCCTCTCTCAGCCTCTGCTCCGGTTCCTGACTCGCTTCTCCCTCTCAGGACTCTCCTGCAGCCCATCTCCCTGCCCTATGCCCCTTTTCCTGACTCATCGAGGGCATCCCCATGGAGCAGCCTGTGAGCCCGTGGTGTCAGCTTGGAGCTGCGTCTGCTCCTGGGCTTTGAGCAGTACTCTGGTCTCTGAGGAGATGGGACGCATCGTCTGCCCAATAAGCATGTGTGTTCTCAGTGAATAAAAATGAAAATTATCGTTATATTGACCATTCTTGAAACCCTCTTAGATTTGATTTCCTAAGAGTGAAATCATGTGTTAAAATTACTTATGAAAACCTCAAAACCACTAATAAAAATTCTTAAGCCTGTTTTGAGTTATCCCATTTTGAAACTACATCTGCTTTAGAAGCCTCAAATGGTCCTCCATCCTTTCTTCCAGCATTTTTGCTTGTGTTTCTGGAATACGCGTGACGAGCATGTGTCGTCAGTAACCAACAGTGTTGCTTCTTTGCAGAGGAGCTGATAACGCAGTATCTTGCTGAACTTCAGAGCCCAGAGGAAATGACCCGCTGTGGCTTCTCGCTGGCCTTGGGCGCCCTTCCCGGCTTCCTTCTGAGGGGCAGGCTCCAACAGGTACGGCTGAGCTGGGCTGCAAGAGCGGCATCCCGGTGCAGGGTCATGGGTTAGGTCTGGGTGGTGTTGTGTGAGCCCACACATGGGGCAGGAGGTGGTCAGATGGTCAACAAATCCAGAGTTTGTGGTTGGGGAGGAATTCCGGAAAAGCAGCCCCTGTGGCCCCAAGAAAGGGAATAGGGACCAACCAAAGGAACGGGGGACCTCCTCGTTAACATCCTCCTGTGAAAGGAGAGACCCTGAAAAGCTAAATTCCAGTTTGTGGAAGGGATCTGTGTTTGAGGGAGAGACCCTCCCTGCCTCTGTGGCACACGTTTTTGCCTTGACACGTTTGTGGTCCATTGTCCAGTGTCATCTTCATCAGAAACGAATGTCTCTGTCCTCGTCTGGAGACGCGGCCCTGCCCTGTAGCCACGATTGAAGGGTGCTGGGTCTGTGCAGAGGCCTCGCCCCTAATGCCCCTTACACCCCAGGAATTCCTCCTTGGGAAATACGTCCCATCCCTGAGGGTAGTTGTCCCAGGACCCGCCTCTACATGGCCTTCCCCTCTCCCCAGCCTCTGGCAGGCCGGGCGTCTGGCAGGGCTCTGAGCCTCTGTCACAGCCCGAGGAGGTCTCTGCATGCCCTCAGGAGGACAGATGACCACTGGTGTCCTGCTTCCTGTGGCTGCTGAGCCTTACCCTCATGCTGGTGCCTGGGGCGCAGAGTGGAGGAGCAGAGCTCTGCTTGGGCAGAAACGCCGTGGGCCTGTGGTCTTGGGATTCGGACTTGGAGCAGGCGCACCGCAGAGCGCACTGGAGTCAAGGCCACTGGACACAGAGCTCCCCTCCTGTCCTCGGGCTTTGCCTGGGCCCCTGCCAGCCCCACTCTCTCCAGTCTCGAAAGACTGGAGGATGTTTCCTCTGTTGCCAGCTCCCTGTGAAGGCTGATAGCAGAAGGTGTGGGCTTGCTTGCGTCTCCTCTCGCCCGTCTTGCCTGCACCCGAGGCTGCTCTTAGGCCCTCACCCCTGGGGATGCTGTTCGCTGTCTGCACAGCCCCTCCTCTGGGAACCGCGTGCGCCCCCTGCCCCCCTTCTGCCTCCTGCTTGGCCCCCCTTGGTCTCCTTGGGTCTCCCCTGCGACATGGCTGCCTTGAGCATTGCTGTCCTTGGCTTGTCTCCTTTCAGGGTGATCTGTCACCCTCCTGACACCCTGACTTGGGTCCTGAGCTCCCAGGAGAGTGGGTGCCTGTGGCCCTACCCTGGAGTCCCCGCCGGCCTCTGTCCACCACACTCTCACGCTCCCCTTTCCCTCGACTGAAGTGTCACTTACAGTCCTGCCACCCTGCCTCCCAGGTGCCCATCGCTTGTGTCACCGCCTCCTGCCTGAGACACCTTGGGACCCGTGGCAAGGATAAACTTACATACTAACGAGTTGGGGACAGACTGTCTAAGACTCACTGTTGGACTTAGCCAGCTGAGACATGGGGCTGTTAGAATGGAATTGGCCCTTCGAGGAGTAGCAGACAGACTCCAGGGGCCAGCGTTCCCTCTGCCAGACCCTCCAGCCTTCAGCAGCGGGGTAGGGGGTGCCACTGGTGGTGGGGGGCACAGTCTTGCCAAGGATGAGGCATCATCTGTGGAGATGACCTGGCTGCAGGAGCCTAACAGTGGAAGTGCTGGGGTGACCCCCCTGTGCTGTGCATTCCTCCTGGGCTGCACCAGGTGTGTGGCCCGCACGGACAGCCGCCAGGCTTGCGGCTCTGCGTCTGGGAGCAGCTCCACCTGTGTGGTCAGTGAGTCTCTCACAGGGTTGACGGTTCTGCTGACGACTTGTCATTGCTCTTCAGGTTCTAGCTGGTTTAAGCGCCGTCACCCGCATTTCTCCCGAGGATGTCAGCTTTGCCGAGTCCCGGCGGGATGCCTTGAAGGCGATTTCGAGGTGAGTCCCACTGGTTTTCCTCCCAAACTCATCCTCCCAAAGCCAGCAGCTGCAGGCCGAGGAATGTTCATGGTCGGTTTGTGTTAGAAGCCCAGTCTCAGGGGATGAATCCACTTGGAAGTTAAGGGTGTTTTTTGTTTTCTAGTTTCTTCTCTTTTCAGAGAGTTGTCAACATTTCCGGCTCACAGAGGCTCATTAACGGTTTCATTTGTGATAATTACAGTGACTATTAAACCTGTATTGTGATGACTTCTTTACTTTGGGGAATTGGGGAATGAGCTCCAGCTCCAGGAGTGACCCCGTCGGCGTGTGCTGACCTCTGAGATGTGTTGCAAATGTGCACACTTGGGACGCCCACTCCCGTCCCTCCTGCACAAGCACGTCCGAGGACCAGCCTGTGCAGCCCTGTGCTGCTCCCGACGTCACGTTACCCCCATCTGCCAGGATGGGAGGGTAGGGGACCAGACACAAGTGGCCTCCCTGTGCACCTTTTAAACTGGAGACACTAGAAAATGTGATTTCAGAGAAGAGCGTCATTCGCGTGTGTCTGCACAGAAGGAGCCCTGGAAGTCCCAACCCCCTCCGAGGCCCCCGTCCAGTTCCGAGTGTCCTGTCAGCAAGACACGTCAGGCTGCCAGGATGTGAAATACGGGACAGAGCGGATGGCTTCCTAGCCAGTCGCTCTGTTTCACACATTTGTAATTTCAGGGTCTGCCAGACTGTCGGTGTGAAAGCAGGAGGGAGCCCGGATGAAGTTGTGTGTGAAGAGAATGTTGCCCAGATTTTCCGCACGCTGCTGGACTGTCTGAGGGATTACACCACTGATAGCCGCGGGGACGTGGGGGCGTGGTAAGCGTGTTCCCCAGTCCCACAGCCTGTCTCCCTCTGCGGCTCAGTGAGTGGTACCAGGGTGGAGCTGGGCGTTCCCTGCCTCTGCCCATGGCCCATGTCGTGTCGCTTCTCCCTGGGCGTAATCTGCTGCCGCTGTCCAGCCTGGGCCATTGTTCTCAGGACAGCAGGGCCTCTGGGGGCCCGGCCTCTGCTCCTTACTGGGAAAACATCCACTTCGTGTAATACAGACACGGTGCTGACTCCCTTGTCTAAGCCCAGTTCTGACCTAATGGAGTTCATGCAGCCAAGCCCAGCGCAGCCGTCCAGAGCGAGAGGTCGCATGCCATTCTGGAGAAGGGCTGAGATGGGCACTGGGCGGAAATTGTGCCAAGGCTGGTTTTCCAGGGACTCAGCTGCACGTAAGCAGAATCAGTCCTGCCCGACGGAGACCAGACTTCCAGTGCCCGGGTCTCACGGTCCAGGAGCACCCCTCCGTTGTGGCTTACCTGGGGGAGTCCTAGATAACTGCCAGCTGAGCTGACTGAGGCTGCTGACGAGGCTGTGCTCATGGCCCAAGACCGGCTTGTTCATTTCTTTCCTCTCACTGGGGGTTGTCTTCTGCTGTGAATAAGAGACCCAGTGGCTGTGTTGGAGGAGCCGAGAGAAACTCCACAGGGAGTGTTATACACGTTCTCTGTCACGGTCTCTGGGTTGTGATGAGGACACCTGTCTGTGGGCAGAGCACAGAAAAAGATGTCACTCACATCGAGCAGAAATAGTTCATGTTTTAATTATGATGATGGGAAAAGAAGTTAAGCTTTATGTTAAAACTTCAAAGTAAAAAGAAATGGATGGGCGTGTTGTCCCACGTTTGGCAAGTTTTGACTCCTTTTTCTCTAGACATTTTCTCTGCCCATTATCTTTCTGACATCGTGTTACCCAGTAGGACTTCATGATGTCCCACACATCCTGGAGCCTACTCATTTATTCAAAGTGCCCTCTTCAGTTGTATAGATTCTATGAATTTATGTTCAGCTTCATTGGCTCTTTCCTTTATTCAGTCTCCACAATGCTATAAGGTTTCTCCAATAAAACCTTAATTTCATATTGTATCTTGTTGATAAATCCCCCGCTGGGTCTGTGTCTGCTGCCCCCCTGCCTCTTCACCATCAGGAGTGTCTCCTGCCCTGCCGGCTTCACTCCTTCCTCTGCTTGTCCCGATGCTGTTTGGGGCAGGGCCCTCACCGGGGCTTGCTGACCTCCCATGTGTCTGCAGAGACTCTGGGACTCATCAGGGTCTCATTGGAACCCCGGGGTCTGCCTGGACGGTGGCAGTGTGGGAGCGCTCTGGGGTGCCACGTACTTCCCGGCCCCGTGTCCCCAAGGAGGCCATCCTGAGGCCGCTTGCTGGCTCTCTGGGTGCGGCTGCAGCGCAGCCACCTGACCCCTTTGATGCCCCGCCTCTTGGGGTCTGTGTCGGTGACTACCGTCTGACCTCCACAAGGGCTTGCTCGTCTGCCCTGGACAGTGGGCCACTCTCCCTGATTCTTTGTGTGGCGTGTGGTCTTCGAGCGGGTCCTGGACACGGGGGCGGGGGGGGTTTGTTGTGGAGACCCTGGGCCTGTATCATTCTTGTGGAGGGGCTGGCTGGTGGCCTTCAGCAGCCAGGGGACCTGGTCTAACATTTACGGGGGTGCTTTCCGCCTTGCCCGATGTGGGTGGCCACTCATGTTCTGTCCAGTCGTCCGTGTCCTGGTGGAGACGTGGGCACTGCTCCCACACAGATGTGGGGTCCCCTCCTTGGGCATGCCCCTTGAGGGGACCCCTTTGCTCTTGGTGTCCCTAGTTGTCCCAGACTCTTCCTCGCAGTTCAGGGTAGAAGGACCGTGGGTTTCCACTGGGGTTTCTGTGCTGCTGTGCTGCCCTTGGAGCAGAGCAAACAAGAAACAGAAGAAGCCCCCAGCTGCCACTGCTCCAGCCCCGCCATCCCCAGGAGCTCAGGCTGTGCTGTGGCTGTGGCGTCGGTGAGGTGGCTCCTGGCCTCATGGGTTCGGAGAGTGTCCGGGTCTTCTCAGAGGCTCCAGTTCTCTGTGGACAGGCTCCATCGTCTTCACTTGTTTCCTCTCCTGTTCTTCAGTGTGTTCCTTGTGCTTGCTGTCAAGACTCTCAGTGCTCTCTCCAACGTCGTGTCGTCCTGGGCCTGTCTGCTGTTGTCTGCTCTCTGTTTTTAGAACTTGATCTTTTTCTTTTTTAAATATTCCTTGTAATTTTTAACTGAATCCAGAAATTGTGGCTTCAAATTGCAGAGGCTGTGGGTCGTGGGATTTCCTCACAGCAGCAGCAAGCCCATGTTGTACGGGTGGTTGCTGTGAGCCCCCGATCTGAGGTCCCCCTTACTCCTGTCCACGCCCTAGGCTGCTGTGCCCATGGCCTGAGGAGGGGCCTCCTGGGTTTGGAGCCCAGGTTCTTCCTCCTGCACCTCTGTCCTCCCAGCTGCCGGAGATTTGGAACCTCACCCTGTGCTTGCCCATTAGGAGCTGGCAAGGCCCCTCCTCTATGTCTCCCTGCCCCCCAGCCTTCCCTGTGAGTGCTGGGCATCCATGGGAGCGCTCTGTTGTCCCTCCCCAACGCCCTGCCTGCTCCCTGGCCCCTCCCCACAGTTGTGTGTGTGTGTGTGTGGTGTCCTGAGCAGTGACTGGTCAGTGGCTGAGGCTGGTGTCTGAGCCCGTCCAGCCCCATCAGCCTGTGTCCAAGCAGCCCTGCCCCTGCAGGCCTCTCCCACCCGCTCCCGGGGCTGGGGCCTCTGTGTGTGCCCCGCCTCTCAGATCTGAGCAACACAGCTGTCTCCCTGGCATGCAGCTTTCACTCCTTGGTGGACGGTGGATGCCTGGGCCTGTGGGACCTGCTGGCCCTGGTGACGCGGGTGGTGCCTTTGGTCCTCGTGGTCCGGCTGTGCCCTGCCTAGGTGGGGTGCACTCTGTCCCAGGTTTAAGATGCTGCTTTCACTCTGGAGTCAGGCCAAGAATAGTGTGGTCTTGGGTTTTTTAATCGTATCAGTTTTGTTTGCTTTAATGTGAGCTGTCGTGGAGCAGACTTGTTCTGAGTGGGGGGACGTCGTGATCTGGACGGGACATGGGCAGCAGCACACCAGAGCTGCTCTGCGAACGGCTATCCTGGGGAAAGCCAAAAAACCCTCCGTTTCTCTGCCAGGAGAAAGCTTTGCAGCGTGAGTGTATTGTGCTTTTAAAGGTCCGTGAAATATCAGTGCTGTTTCCCTGTGTACACTTGCAGCAGTGTGCTGGGACCTGCCGTCTCTCCTCGGGTGTCACACACGTCTTTGTGCTACGTAACCACACGAGAAAACACTCCCTCAGGGAGGCTCCCAGTTGCCTGAGTTGTTTCTTAGATGTTTCCCACTGAAGTGCGATTTTCTCAACCGCCATGATCTGAGTGTGGCGGACACGCCACGCGCTCCTGGGAGGAAGCCGGCTGCTCATCCCTCTTGTCTCTGCAGGGTCCGTGAGGCCGCCATGACCAGTCTGATGGACCTGACACTTCTGCTGGGGAGGGACCAGCCAGAGCTGCTCGAGGCCCAAGTGTGAGTGTGTCCTCCCCCGCGTAGAGGTCTCTGTCCCGGCCTCCCTTCCTGACCCCACAGCCCATGGCTCACAGTCAGGCCTCCCCCTCCCCAACCCACTCAGGCCTGTTGGAGGACAGCCAGCTTGGGGCGAGGCCAGGCCAGGAGCCGCTTCTCGGCTTAGGGCCCCTGTACCTGAGCACCTGCTCCCACGGGGACTGGCAATCCCACCTCGACGGTGCCCTGGACCAGGTCTCTCTCGGGCACAGTGCTTGCTCGAGGTCCATGCCCTCTGATGCCACGGTTGCTGACGCCTCTGTGGAGACCCCATCTCGTGTCCTTAGCCCCTCCCCGCCCCACTCAGTGCCCTCCTCCTGTCCCCGTCCTGCGCCTCCCCAGCCCCTGCTGCCCTATCACCACCCATCGCCCTGGAGGCCTGTCCGTCCTCACTGCTTCCACCTGACCTTGCATGTCAGACCAGCCAGGGAGTGGGGTCCCGACCTGCAGCCCTGGTGGCAGCTGTGCTGAGCTGAGCTGGCGGCCTATGCTCTTGGTTTGCAGCTGTGAGCGTGTCATGTGCTGCCTGGCCCAGCAGGCAAGCGAGAAGATCGACCGGGTCCGGGCACATGCTGCCCGCATGTTCATGGCACTGCTGCACGCCGACGGCCCTCCCATCCCGCACCTGCCCCACCGTGGAGACCTGCAGGAGCTCTTTCCCAGGTACAGAGGCCTGCATGCCCTGGTTCCCGGGGGTGGGGACGGTGGCCCCTCCAGCTTGCCTGCTTGCTCTCTTGCAGGTCTGACATGGCCTCCGTGAACTGGAACGCTCCATCCCAGGCTTTCCCTCGCATAACCCGGCTCCTGGGGCTACCCGCCTACCGCTACCACGTCCTGCTGGGGCTGGCTGTGTCCGTGGGAGGCTTGACGGAGTCCACGGTGAGGAAGCATCTGGTCTGACGTCTTTGGGGGAGCGGTTCTGCGTGGCGTCTGCCCGGAGGTGGGGCAGTGCGAGAGGTTCCGTGGGACGGCACTGACTGGTACTTTCTGGGTGGGAGCGAGGCTGTGGAGTGCGTGCTGGGAGGGCTGCTGTCTCCTTCCTTCTGCTGGTTCTCTCTCTCTTTGGGGGATTTTGCTTTGGGTTTGAGGGTCCAGCTCCTTCCCTTGGCCGTGTGCTCCCGAGCAGGATCCCGGAGGCATTTCCTCTGAGGAGGGTGGACTGGTATCTTCAGTGGGAAACTGAGGAGTGGGCTGGACTTCCCATTTAGGAAGATCTGACACACACGGAAGTGCAAGGATGTTACGATGGACTTGTGTGTCCCAGCACGTGGTGGCAGTGGTCTTGGTGTTGGCACTCTTGTCCCTGCTCCTACCATGTGACGTGCACAGTCCGTGTCATCAACAAATTTGACTTGGTCTGGCCACTAGCTACTGCTTTGACCCTCCGTCCGGGTTTTTTTCTGGATAAGCTTTTGTTTGCTGTTTCGTTACCTTACTCTGTCATCACCGCTCTGCTCACTTGGCACCCCAGGTGCCCTCACACACTGTAAATGGGACCCTTCGAAAGGCGTCGTGTGCACATCAGCAGGGGAGTGTCTGCTTCTCCTTGGTCCTGCCCCCTCCCGGAATGTTCCTGCTGGAAGGCTGGCCCTTCCCTGGTTTCCATGGAGATGGCACCTGTTTAGATTTTTCCGGTGCCCACTACTCCTTCCTGCTCTTTCCTTCAAGCCCCTCGGGGTGAACACCCCCAGTTTTCACTGACAGGTCCTTGTTCTCTGGAGGTGATTTGTGGGGGCAGAATTCTTGTCTGAGGATTTGGGGGTCCGCCAGTGCTCTGGTCCCTTGTCGCCAATGCAAGTGGCTGCTGTGCCGCATCGCTCCTACCCAGGTGGTCCTGCTTTTCCTCGCTGTCTTCACGGCCAGCTCTGCTCTTGTGTCCTGCAGTCTTACCCCAGAGGTCAGCACGGTCCTGTGGGGGCTGGTCACTTGCTCACTTCTGGAGAGCCCTTGCCTCCTCATGCTATGCCGCGTCTCCCCACGCGTCTCCTCTGTGCTCTCCTTTCCCTCCACGTTCCGTCTGTTCTGGGCTTCAGACTTTTCCGGTGCCTACAAGTTTCTGCAGCTTTGTTTAATCTGTTTTTGAGTTTTTGGTTTCAGCAGTTTTTTTATTATCAAACGTTTACTTTGTCCTGAAATCTGTCTGTCTCTCATGCTTTTTCATCGTAGGCTCGTCTTTGTAATTGCAGTTTTGCTTTAAAGATTAACAGGTGGTGTTCTCCTGTGCTGTGTCTGTGCCAGTGTCTGGTCTGAGGGCGTCTGCGTCTGTGCCCTCACTTCTAGGCATTCGCGGTGACTCGCCGCCTTGGGCATTCTCCTGGGCAATGGTGTTGGTATTAGTCTGGGAGAAGCTGCCTCCACACACAGAGGAGCTGTTGGTCCTGCTGCCGGTAGCTGTGCTCAGGCCCCCAGACCACTGGGCATGCTGCAGGGCTTGGTCAGAGCTGGAGTCTTGGACGTTCTTTCTCTTTCTTGCCAGCCGTTGCTGTGGGCCTCCAGCTCCGGGGACACCTGGACCCCCGCTGCTCCCTGGTCTTGGCTGCATCTGCGTCAGTGTGGGTCGCTCTGCATTGGGTCTGCACAGGCCCCGCTCCCATGCCGGCTCCCCTGCCTGTTTGTGTGGGGCCTGTGGGGGCATCTGAGCCCAGCAGAGCCTCAGATCTGCAGCTGTGTTTGGAATGCGCGGGTCTCACAGCTACTGGTCACTCTTGATGCCAGGCTCTGTGACCTCTCCCCATGGACAGTCTCCACCGCGGTTGGCTGAGGGGCTGTTCTGGCAAGTTTAGTGACAGCGAGTGAGAGTGTGGGTTGTGCCACCACCTTGAGAGAAGCATGTCCGCTCCAGGGGTTTGCACCATGGCTCCGCGCTCACACCCCATCTGTCCAGCCTTGGCAGGATCCTTAGTGTGTTGCTCTGTCTTCTGAGCTCGTGGCAGACCTTTGAGTCTGTCATCGGTGCCGGGCCGGGGCCGGCGCCAGGGGAGCGGGGTCTTGTCGCTGTTACGAGAAGCTTCTCCATCCTGCAGGTCCGGTACTCGACGCAGAGTCTCTTTGAGTACATGAAGGGGATTCAGCACGACCCGCAGGCCCTGGAGGGCTTTGGGGGGACCCTTCTGCAGGTCTTTGAGGACAACCTTCTCAATGACAGGTAAGTGGTGGTGCTCTTCATGATGGTCTCTCGGACCCCCGGTCTGCTTGGTTCTTGCCGGATTTTAAGGGACAGGTTGGGCACAGGTGAGGAACTGGACATGGCCAGGTGAGGGTGTGCCGAATCACAGGGGTCTCGGGCAGCCCGTCACCCCTGGCCCTCCCAGCCTGCATTTGAGCTGGTGGGATTAGGGTTTTGTACATTGGAAGTGAAGGTGCAGAGGCTGTGAGCCTGGAGAGGAGGGCGGCCCTCACCCGTGTGCTCCGCAAGGTGGGCGTCTCCCTGGTCCACGCACGCCGACATGGCCACAACCACTCAGCAGGGGAGATGGTAGCGTGCCAGGATGGGAATGTCACAGTGAGAAACAGCACTTGTTTTCTGAACATTTTTGCGCCAGTGTTTTGGTAACTGCTTTTCCACAAAAGTGGGGTGTAGACCCTGTGGGCCCTGACCTCAGAATTGGAGATGTTTCCTGCAGCCCCCAAGGGGGGTGTTCCTGGACTCAGTTCTTGACTGTCCCAGGGTGGCCAGGACCTGGTCACAGTGGCGTGGCAAAGGTTCCCCTCACACAGGCCATCCGCAGCCATCCTGCCATGGGGAGCAGAGACACAGCTCTCAGCAAGCAGGAGCTCGGCCCAGGGTCCTTCCTCTGTAGACGGCTGCGTGGAGGAGTGAGTGATGTCAGCGAGGTGCACGGTGCCAGTGCAGTGTGATAATTTGACTCAGGTCAACATCCATGCAGCTGTCACCACGTCAAGACCCTGATCACATCCATCACCCCAAACATGCCCTGCAGGCCCTCCAAAACCCCTGCCCCATGGCGCCCCAGCTCCAAGGCAGCCACTGGTCTGCGGTCTGCGTCCTGTCACTATAGTTGAGGTGAAACTTGCTAGAATTTTGTTTAAATGGAATCATGCCTTGTGTGCTGTTTCTGTGTCTGGCTCCTTGGGTCCAGCGTAGTTACTTTAGACTGACGTTTTAATGCCGAATTGTGTTGTGTTGTGTGGTTACTGCACACTTTGCTTGGATGCTGAGTTGTGTTGTGTTATGTGCTCAATGCACACTTTGCTCGGATGCTGAGTTGTGTTGTGTTGTGTGCTCACTGCACACTTTGCTCAGATGCCGAATTGTGTTGTGTTGTGTGCTCACTGTGCACTTTGCTCGGATGCCGAGTTGTGTTGTGTTGTGTGCTCACTGTGCACTTTGCTCGGATGCCGAGTTGTGTTGTGTTGTGTGCTCACTGTGCACTTTGCTCAGATGCCGAATTGTGTTGTGTTGTGTGCTCACTGCACACTTTGCTCAGATGCCGAGTTGTGTTGTGTTGTGTGCTCACTGTGCACTTTGCTCGGATGCCGAGTTGTGTTGTGTTGTGTGCTCACTGTGCACTTTGCTCAGATGCCGAATTGTGTTGTGTTGTGTGCTCACTGCGCACTTTGCTCAGATGCCGAATTGTGTTGTGTTGTGTGCTCACTGTGCACTTTGCTTGGATGCCGAGTTGTGTTGTGTTGTGTGCTCACTGTGCACTTTGCTCGGATGCCGAATTGTGTTGTGTGCTCACTGCACACTTTGCTCGGATGCTGAGTTGTGTTGTGTGCTCATTGCTTAGTTCGTCTGCTCCTCTTTTGGTGGCATCTGGGTCGTCCGCAGTGTGAGGCCGTCACAGATGAGCTGTGGTGTGTTCACGTGTGAGTGTCTGTGGACACATCTTTCCTTTCCTCTTGGGGATGCTAAGAGGGCAGTGGCTGGTTGTGTAGGGGGTGATTGTTTAATGTTTTGAAACACCACCCTGCCGTCTTCCACTGTGCTTGTGCCATTTACCTTCCTGCTCAGTGGGTCAGAGGTCCAGGGCCATGTCCTCACCTGGCTAGGGTGATTGGTCTTTGATTGTAGCCGTTCTGTGGGCGTGGGCCGGTGTCTGCTGCGACTTCCGAGGCGTTTCCCCCGACTGAGGATGTGGATATCTCCTTGGGGCCTGTGGCCCGTCTGGAGGGCCTCCCTGCTGAGGTCCGTCCAGATCCTTCGCCTATTTGTTAACTGGCTGGTGGTTTTTTCCCCACTGGTGAGTTTTGAGGTTTTCTCATGTATACCGGACGAGTCCTTTGTCAGCCATGCGATTGGCAAACATCATCTTCCGTCCGTGGCTTGTCTTCCATCTCTTCAGTCCCCTCACCGAGCAAGTGTGATGAGTTCGTTTATCCGCTTGTTCTTTTACAGATTGTGTTTTCATGTCATAACTAAGGAATCTTGGAATAACTCAGGGTCACAAAGATTTTCTCTTGTTTTCTTCTGGAAGTTTTATAGTTTTAAGTTTTCTATTAAAACTAAGGTCCATTTTGGGTTAGTTTCTGTATGATGCAAGGAACAGATCTATTTCCATTTGTGGTTTTGCGTGTGGGCGTCCAGAGCGTTGTGGTTCTGCGGTTGGATATCCAGTTGCTCTCTTCGGGCTCCTTTCTGGACTCTGTGCTTTGATCTTTGCGCCTTTTCCCCCAGGACCACCCCGTTCTGACCACTTGGCTCCTCCATGGCTTTGACCGCAGGGTGGCATCAGCCCTCCTGCTCTGTTCTTTCTCCCATAGTTGTTCGGGCTTTTCTTGATCCTTTGCATTTCCATATAAATTTAGAATCAGCTTGTCATTTTCTGCAAAATGTCCTGCCAGGATTTGGTCTGGTGGTGCAGCCTTGGGAGAGTGGACATGAGCAAGGCCGTGTCCCCTCAGAGTGCACCTCTCTCCCCCCTCACCCGGCCCTCCCCCCTCTCTTGTTGGCACCTGGGCTCTCATGGCTCGTCTTCTCCCCTTAGGGTCTCTGTGCCGCTGCTGAAGACACTGGACCAGATGCTGGCCAATGGGTGCTTTGACGTCTTCACCTTGGAGGAGAAGTAAGGGTTTCTTTTCTTTCCTGCTCCACACTGTTTCCCTGGTAAAGCCTCGTAGTTCACCTTTTAAAGAAAAAGTCATCTGATCTAGAGATCAGAATCGAGGAGATAATATTCCAGTGGGTTCAGGGTCAGTTTCTGTGCACACTAAACGCCGTCAGAGGCAATCGGCTGTCCCTGCGAGGCTGGGCTGGACCGCGGAGGGGGGAGGTGGGATGGGCCGGTTGGGGTCAGGGCTCCTGCTGTGCACCTGCCTGCCGTCCAGGTAGGAAACAGCCCCGAGCAGGTGAGGTGTCCTAGCTGCCAGGGACCCAACAGTCAGGGCAGTTGTGGATGGTGGACTGGATGGTGAATGGGGATGGGGGAGGGGGATGGCAGAGGGCGTGTGACTGTCGCGGTGATAGATCTGGCACTTGCGTGGGAGTAGGACTTGTGAGCCCACCAAGGACAGAGTGGGACAGAGTGGTGCGTGGGGAGGCCGGCCAGAGGTGGGCGCAGGGAGTGGGTCTGAAAGGCTGCTTCCCATGTCCGCCGTGTCTGGGGTTCCTCAGCTGCCCGCACACAGGGACACTTCACCACCGTGTCAGCCTCGTTGCGCATGAGCGCCCACGTCCTGGGTCTCAGTGCTGGTTTATCTTGTCAGGGCCACGTCATCTTGTTTCTTGTGTGCCGACCATTTCCATTTGCCCTCGGGCCTTGGGGTCTGGTCCCTGGGCTGGACGGCCTGGCCCCTGGGGGTGGGCTTGAGCTTCCTGTGGGCACGTTTCGGTGACTGCAATCAGCTTTTAAACTGTCAGGTTGGCCTGGAGTGGCGTCTTTCCCACGTTGGTTTTCCCCCATTTCCCAGGCCCTGCTCGCTGCCGCTGGATTTGTGAGCTTTCTGCCCAGCTGGTGGTGACAGTCACTGTGTACTGGGGTCTTCCTGTCATCTTTTGGGTGGTTCTGGCCCCAGCCTGGGGCAGTGGCCTTGTGCTCACACACTGACCAGGGCTCAGGTGGATCCTCAGGGCCCCAGGACGCCCTCCTCTCTGGTGCTGTGCTCCGCAAACCATAGCACACTGCAGACTCGAGTGGCACCAGTTCCGCCCCCGTCCCCTCTGCATCCCCTCCGGCGGGCAGGAACCTGGGCAGTTGCAGGCTGACCTCAGTTGCCTCCGCACCTCAGTGGTCACTGTCCTTGGCCACATGCTGTCTTGTGAGTTTTGTTTGGGTTTTAGTTGTTTCAGGTGGGGGTGAATCTGGTCCCTTTACTCCATCTTTGCCAGGACCCTCAGTGCTTTTTGGCAGCCTCGATAACGTCAAAGCGTTTCCCCTTTTACACTGCTGATGGTACATCACACTGACTTTGTGTGTGTGTGAGGAAGATCCGCCCTGAATTAACATCTGTTGCCAATCCTCCCCTTTTTTCACTTGAGGAAGATTAGTGCAACATCTGTCCAATGTTCCTCTACTTTTTGTATGAGGGATGCCTCCAGGGCGTGATCAATGAGCAGAGTAGGTCTGCACCTGGGATCGGAACCCACAAGCCCAGGCCACTGAAGCGGAGCGCGCAGAACTGTAACCACTTGGCCACGGGGCCAGCCCCACGCTGACTTTCTTATACCTAATGTCAGAGCAGCGTTTGGGGGCTATGGGCACCTGTTTATGGGACCCTTTACTGCATGACTTGGCTTGCTGAATATTCTGTTTAAGATCTTACCATGTTTTCATGCTTTGATAATTTCAAAATAAAATGGTAGGAGAAAGTATCTCCTGCTCAAATACAGATCTTCTTATTTTTCTGCAGTTTTTGTCAGTTTTGCTTTGTGTATTCTCAAGTTTTGTCTCTTGGTGCACACAGTTAGGGCTGAGTCTCGTTATTAAAGGGCCTATGTTCCTGGTGGCACTCTGCGCAGCTCGCCCATCTGCCTTGTATTCATTCACGTGGCTACACCAGCTTCTTTTGACTTTTGTCCTTTTTCCGTCCTCCCTTGTTCACTGTTGGTGCGTGTTTGTGTCTGTGAGCATCATCTGAAGCCAGTCTTTCCACGGGACTGCTCACCGTGTCTCATGTGACCACTGGGTCTGTGTCCCGTGTGTGGTGCCTCTCCCCTTCCTCCTCCTCTGTTCTGTGTGGTAACGAGTCATTTTCACCGTTCCATCTCCCTCACGAGCTTGTCTGGGACTTGGCCCTCTTTCCTGCTCCCCTCACGGTCACGCCCTCGGATTCATTTTCAGTATTTTGTCCTCTTCCTGGACAACACCAAGGGCGTTAGGACACGGCCCATGTACTTCTCTGCAGTGACAGGACATCATTGTCATGTGTTTGGTTGCATTTATATTTTCACTTACTGCTGTTTTCTGTGGTTAGTGTTTAAGTTAAATGCATTTTTACTACTTTCTTTTCCCTCGTTGCCTCTTGTATCTTGTCCCCCCACCTCATCTAGGATTGTATTCTTTCTGCCTAAAGAACATCCTTTAGCATTTCCTCTAGTCATGGGGCTGGACCTGTGGCCGAGTGGTTAGGTTCGCGCTCTCCCCTTTGGCGGCCCAGGGATTCACCAGTTCGGATCCTGGGCGCGGACATGGCACTGCTCATCAGGCTCATGCTGAGGCGGCAACCCACATGGCTCAACCAGAAGAACCTACAACTAGAATATACAACTATGTACTGGGGGGCTTTGGAGAGAAGCCAAAAAAAAAAGAAGATTGGTAACAGATGTTAGCTCAGGGTCAATCTTTAAAAAAAATTTCTCTAGTGAGGTCTGCTGGTGGCAGATGCTTTCTGATTTTATTTTCATGTTCAGAGGGTACAGAATTCTAGGCAGCTGTTTTATTTTGGGACTTGAAGAATATCTTTCTACTGAGGTGTGAACTCATGAAGTCATCAGGGGAGCAGGTGCAGACAGGTGACCGGGGGAGGGGTGTAGACTGAGAAGAGCCCCAGTGGAGCTGTGGGTGCCCCATTGTTGGCAAGATGGGGAGCAGAGGGGATGGCAAGGCCGCTAACAAGCAGGCTGAGGTGGAAGAGCATGGGGCTGCCATAGCTGGGCTGTCGATGGTGTGTCCTGAGTGGTCACACAGGCTGAGGGTGGGAGTGACCATGGCCCTCAGCAGCATGATGGTCAATTGGTCCCTGATGAGTGTTTCAATGAGCTGTGGGGAGAAGCCAGATGGAGCTGGGTTCAGGGAGGGGTGGGGGCCAGAGAGGGACACTGACAGCTCTCGGTGACAGTGAGGACCTGGAAGGGCAAGCAGGAGTGAGAGAATGTGGCGCCTGGTGGGTGGGGAGTGGACGGTGGAGGAAGAGAGGCTGAGGTCCACTGTATCCCAGGAGGACAGCGGGGTTTTCCTGGGACCATCTTTGGTGGGGGAGCTACTGTCCACACTGACGCTGAGCTGGCAGTGGCCTAGCGTGGGTGGTCGCTTCCTGCTCGCAGGGTGGGGGTGGTGGGGTAGCCAGCGGCCGCTTCCTGCTTGTGGGGGGCCATCCTGTGCCTTCACCCAGGGGCCCGGCGAGACGAGGTTCTGCACCCTGACCATATCTAAGGCCACCTGGGCCAGCCTCCAGCCAGCAGATGGGGGAGGAGGAGCCGCGGGGTCCCTTGGAACTGCCTCAGCCTGCGCCACCATCCAGAACGGGCAGGGGCAGGGGCAGTGGTGCCCTGGCCGCAGCACCACACTAGAGGAGTGGGTCCCTCTCATAGGGACCTGTGCTGGCCTTAGCCACCCCGGCCCCACGTTCACCTCCGCTGACTGACCACTTGGCCTTGGCTGTGCCTGGCTCGCCCCGCTCCTGTCACTCCTGATCTTCTTGGGCCTGGGAGCGGGGCTGGTTCTGATTGGGCCTCCTCGTCCTTGCTCCTGGTCAAGCCCACTGGGTCACAGTGCACACTGAGTCAGGCAGCCTTGCTGGTGCTGGCATGGGCGTCGGTCGTCTGGGTAGACCTGCTCATGTCCTGGCTGCACCAGCAGTCAGCCTGCCCTCCCATCAGGGCCCTGAGGATGGGTTGGGGCGCGGTAAGGGAGGTGGTCTGTAGGGTATCTGTCCTCCGCGGCACTTGAACAGGCACCGGCTGACATCACCTGGCACAGCTTCCCCGAGGGACATGGCCTCGGGTCGCTGGTGGCAGCTGCTGTCACAGATGCCACTCCGCGCATCTCAAGCTGCACGTGCTCCCTGAGAGCTTACCACTGACGCCCGTGCCCTCCTTCCAGCCATCCCTTCTGTGTGAAGCTGCTGGCGCTGTGTAGGGAAGAAATCCGGAAGTCCAGAGACGTGCAGAAGCTGCGCTCCAGCATCGGGGTGTGAGTTTCGCATTCCCTGCTGGGACAGTGCTGGGAGGGCGGCTCCGGCGGGAGAGAAGCGGAGTTGCAGTCTCGAGGCTGCGTCACGTCGTGGGTGATGTTAGCCCAGAATAGTCCCAGTGGCAGCCCAGCCACACTGGTGAAGCCACCGTGGGAGTTCCCGCCAGAGCAGGGGAGCCCTGCCCAGCCTCCCTGCGGCCTTGGTGACGAGCAGCCCCACCAGAGTGGGGTCCTGCCCTGCGGCCAGCCCCTGGACAGAGGGACCTGCCTTGCTGGGTGTTCTCAGACCCGATGCCCTGGAGAGCTGGACATTCCAGGCGCCTCCATCTGCAGAGTGAACCAGACACAGCCAGGGTGCCGGACTGACCGCAGTCCCACTGCTCTGTGGCCCCGGGGCTGGGTCAGCATGTCCACTTGCGCCAGGGTCTGGGGCGCTCTGGGAGAAGCTGGCGCCACTCACCCAGTGCTCACCTCTGGCCCGCAGGTTCTGTGGGATGGTGCAGTTCCCAGGTGAGGTGAGGAGGAAGGCTCTCCTGCAGCTGCTCCTCCTGCTCTGCCACCCGTTCCCCATGGTGAGTGCCCGTGTGGTTAGCCTGCTGCTCAGCCGCCGGTGGGGGGGCCAGCGGCCCATCCTTGGACTTGCCCGTGGTGACACTGTGGTCACATGTCACGACCTCCTCCGTAGCACTGGTTCTGGAAGCTAGTGCTGGGTCAGGGCCAGATGCTCTGTGGCTGTGGGCAGGTGGCTAGCTCCGGAGTGGCCACTGGGCAGGGAGCGGCGCCTGGGTGTGGGCGAGGCCTGTTGTGAGGGGGTGGGGTGTCCTGCCCTACACGGGCACCCCTCAAGGAGCAGAGGCCACGGCGTGACTGGTTGCGGCTCATGGAAGTGGCTCCTGAGCATGGTGCAGTCTGTGTCCTCCTGGGCCGAGGTCTGCAGGTGCCCCTGGAGAGCCGAGTCTTTGAGCCTGGGCACTGGGGAAGCAGAAGGACACGCAGCAAGTGCCCCACACTGGTGGGACCATCGACTCTCGACCTCTGACCCCTGATCCCCTCCCGGTTCTGTCCCTCCCCCACCCTGCCCACAGTTGGTCCAACGCAGCCCCTGGATGCCAGCGGGGACCCCAGCTTAGGTGAAGGGGTTGCACCAGGACTCTGGGTGGGGTCTCGGCCTGTCAGGGTCCTGGGCTCCAGTTGAGGGCACCAGGAAGACCCCAGGCTGAAGTGGCTCAACCCACACCTGGGGGCAGCGCCTTCAAAACCCCCACCCCAGCCCGTGGTCAGGTTTCCTAGGAATTTTATTTCCCACTGGCTGAAAAAGTACTCTCCAAATAGTCCACATGACATTTTCCTAAGAGGTGAGAGTAGTGATTCACCTGACACGGCGGTTCTCAGATGGGGGCCAGGAACCCGGCTGCGGCCTCAGGAGCCCTCAGTTGGCCCGGGGCCTCAGACCATGCACTCCCTGGACGTCACTGCAGGCCTAACTAGAAAGAAAGCAGGGGAGGTGGTTTCTCTGATGAGGGACGGGTTGTCAGTGGAGCATTTCAGCCAGAACGACAGCCTGGCCTGTTGGAGGCTGTCCGGCTTGTTCTCAACAAGGCTGCTGCAGGGACGGTGGGGAACGAGGTGGCCCGCCTGGAACGCGCCTCATCCTCTTGTGCATCCGCGTCCAGTGTGGCCACGGTCTCCTCAGTTGGGGTCCTGGTCAGCTCCCTCCTTGGAACCAGCTGCACTGGACACGTCTTTGGGTTTCAGTCACACTGCGGGTTCCTAGGGTCCTGGGGTCCACCTAGCCCCATGTCCCCATTACCTGGACATGGTCCTGCTGGTTCTGTTCTGTGTATCTCGGGCGTTCCCCTCCCACTAATGCGTTCGTCCTGTCCAGATCCGGAAGACCACGGCCAGCCAGGTATACGAGATGGTGCTGACCTATGGTGACGTCGTGGGCGCGGGCGTCCTGGATGAGGTCATGGCAGTGCTCAGCAGCACGGCCTGGTGAGTGCCAGCCCCTCGCCTTCTCCCGGGACACACGCCAGCCATTCCATCGGGTGCCGCGTCGCAGTGAAGGGGCATCCCTTCCTGTCCCTGCAGTCCCTCGCAGAACCCTCCGGAAGGAGGAGGAAGGCGAGCTCCCAGCCCTCCATGGCCTTGGCTCTGGGCCGGGTGAAGGCCACAGTGGTCGTGACCGAGTCTTCTCACCTGCCATGTCCATGTTTCTGTAGCGCAGGCTCCCTTCCTCATGCCCCAGTGAGGGCTGGACACGGGGACGAGTGGGTGTTCAGGTGGGCAGTTTGCAGAGGGAAATCATTTTCTCCCAAATGTAATTTTTTTCTAAGTGGAAGATGGGTTGTTCTGCCCAGTGATTGGTTAGGGGCTAATTTTCAGTTTCTCTGTGGGCTGCTTTTCCATCGACTGATCACGTGGCCGGCTCTGGATGCTGATGGGAGCTGGCATAGCATTTCTGCTGTTACTGGGGTCGAGGTCGCTCAGGGCAGTGGCAGCTTCTTCCCCCTAAACTATGGTGTCACAAATGCTGTGAAGCGTGCAGCAAAGGAGGCGGTTGCTCCCTCTGTGGGCTCTGCCACGTGTGTTAGCCACGGCCCCCCGGGGAGCAGAAGGACCTCAAGCAGCTGTAGCAGGTGCCCAGGACTCGCCCCAGAGGAGGGTCACTGGGCCTTTGCTCAGTCTTGGTGGAAGAGACCACATGTGGACATGTTCAGAAATCAAAAAGCATCAAAGGAAACAGGAAGAACAAGGTTTCGTCCCTTCCCAGTCCCCAGATGTCTATGTCCTTCCTGGGGCAGCCAAGGCCATTAGCTTCTCTTGGGTCATTTGAGACAAAGGTGGGCTTGAAGCTTATTTTAGGCACAATTTCCTGCAATCTCTGCTGGCTTCTTGGCTCCTGGTAGGCTTTGCACAGCACGTTGAGAAGGACTTGTGTGGGGGGAGGGGAGCTGATGGAGAAAGGTGTGTGGACGGTGTCGGGCAGCATAGTAGAGGCTGCCGGCAGGTTCCCCAGCCACACCAGACAGTCACGGTGAGGGAGGGGCAGACACAGGGTGCTGTATGTTCCAGGCATAGCCGCTCTTGGGCACACACACACGCACGTCATGTGTTCTCACATGTGCACATGCCCCGCCCCACAGGCGACCACTCTCCTCACCCCATTCTGGAGACAGGATGGAAGCTTGGAGAGGTCTGGCTGCAGGCCTGTTTAGGCCCCATGCTGACCCCAGGCTGACAGTGCCGCTTCTCTCAGGGCCAGCACACTGCTCACGCAGGCACAGGCATGCACAATAAACTGATGCGTTCCCCTCAGAACAGTGACGTTCTTAAAAGGGCTGAGCTTTCCACAGAGTTCACGCGCAACTGCAGCTCCCGCCCCTAGCCAACGGCCCAGCTCCTCTGCTCAGGCGTGAGACGCTGTGGCCCAGAAGGACAGAAAAGGGCCTTCTGGTTACAGGGTTTCATCGAGGTTTTCTAAGGAGACCTTTAGTTTCGAGGAGGGAGTCCTGGTGAACATCCTCGTGGGGCCCCACAATGAAAGCTCCAGAACAGGGAACGTGGCCTCAGAAGACGTGGGTGCTGCCACTCTCTGTGAGCAGCTTGAACACTGATCTGAGCCCATCCGCCCTCAGGCCTGAGACTGGCTGCCCTGACCCTGTCCGCCCTCAGGCCCAAGTCTCGCTGGCCTGAGCCCGTCTGCCCTCACAGCCTGCCCTGTACATCTGTTGAGAGAGTGGCATCTTAACTTCTGCACTGATGACACATTTTCTGTTATGTTGTCAACTCTATAGAAATGTGGAGGCACGTTCTTAATCAGATCCTAAAATGTTGGGCTTGAAAAAGGACAGTGAGGAGAGCCCGAAACCATTCACACGCATGGGGTCCCAGGTCCTCCCCAGTGCCCCACTCCTTCCGTCCTCCCTCTCAGTGTCGGGGTGGACAGGGTCTCTTTTCCCCATAATTTAATCCCTTTGTAAGAAAAATTCCAGAGGATTTAGAAATTTATATGTGTTTTTTCAGTCTAAAAAAATGCCCAATATTTTTCTATGGTGTTGCCAAATTCAATTTTTATTTTTAATGAAAGTAATAAATAGCTTTCAAAGTCAAATAAAACTTAACAAAGCCCATGGATTAAAATCTGTGTTCCCTCTCTCCTGCCTCCCCAGGCAGCGCCCTTTCCCCCTCGGTCCCAGCATTCCCTGTTCCCTGTTTGGGCCTGTTCGGCCGCATCTCCCTGTGGTGGACCCTTCCTTTGGGCGGCGCTGCTCCTCCTGCAATCTCCGAGAAAGGGGTCGGGGCAAAGCCCAGTTGGAGTTCTGGGGTGAGCAGCCGTTGTTCCTGATTTCCCCTGGTCTGAGATGTCTTGGGGTTTCTGCACCCGGCAGGAAGTCTACCCAGAGTGTAAGTTGGTGGCAGGCTTAGCTGCGAGTGAGCCGACCCTTCTTGTGGCTGAAGCTGCCCTGCCCTCTCCTCCCCAGGGATGCGGAGCTCCCACTCGTGCGAGGCCAGCGGAACCGCCTGTGCGACCTGCTTGGAGTGCCCAGACCACAGCTGGTCCCCAAGGTAACCACCTGCCCCCAACAGAGTGGCACATCCTGGGTCCACACTGCCCACCCCCTACAGAGCCTGGAACATCCTGGGTCCACACTGCCTGCCCCTCTCCCCATTGGGGTCCACACAGGCTTTTGGGACCCCCAGAGATGCAGAGCAGAGGCCGGCAGGCATGTGCACACCCCCCGTTCCCCCCCACTTCCCGCCGAGAGCCAGGCCCCCAGGGACCCCTCCCAGTCAGCTGTTCCTTCGGAAGCAGAGACAAGGAGCTGGTGATGCTCACGGCTGCCCAGCCCACTTGTGTGTGCCAGCTGCTACTCCACCTCCTGGAGACTCCCTCTCCTGCTGGCACGTCTCCAGTGTGTCCTGGTATGCGTCCGTACCCGGGACAGGCTGTCTGCTGGGGGCGGTGGCCACCCAGCCTCTCCAGCCCTCGGAGGAGGTGGCGTTGCCCGAGCTTTCTCCTCCCAGATGTGGCCTCCCTCGTGTTGGAAGAGGCCTCCTCGGCACCCTGATCTGGTCCTTCTGTGTTTCCACCAGCGTCTCCTCCCTGGACACTTGTCCCATTTGGGGACTCTGTCATCACCCAGGGTCTTCTGGGGCCTGCTGCTGTCTGCCACGAGTTCTGCGTTTCCATGGCCTTGGTGTGTGCATTGTATCTGTGGTTTTGAGAGGGCAGGGCCCTGAGCTGATCTTCCAGGTTCTGTGTGGTCAGTGGGAGATTTCAGACTCTGGGGTATGCAGTTGGCAGAGAATTGGGACTTTCTCTTCAGTCTGTCTGTGCTGCAGGAGCTGCAGAGGAGGTCACAGCAGCATGTACTTGATCGCCAGGGGCTAAGTGAGCTCTCAGCCCTGTCCCCACATTCCTTCTCCTCATCCTGGTGGGCTGTGTCCTCTGGACTTAGGTGTGAACTCTGGCTTTGGAGAGACCGTGTTTGAGCTTTTTATGGAGGAAGACTGTCCATGCAGAAGTGAGTGCTGGTCACAAGGTGGCACGCTTTGTCAGGGTTCTTGATTTTTTGCTAGTCATGCAAACTGCAGATATCTTCTCCCACTCAAGGGGCTGCCTTCTTGTCCTTAGATTTAATATATTACAGCTCACCATTTCTTCCCTTTTCACTTTTTTATGGGTCCCGTTTAAGATGTCTTTATCTACTCCAAGTTTATGTCCATAGTCTCCTGTTTTTTTCTGGAGGCTTTACTGTTTCACCTTTTATGTTTAGGTTCGAAGTCTGTCTGGACTTGGTTTTACACGTGGTGTGAAGGAGGTCAGCAGACATGTCCCTCCATATGCTGCTGACCCAGCTCCTTTCTGGCTGCAGTGCGTCACCATTCTCCTTAGTTCTCCATGGATCTCTGTCCTCCGTAAGCCAGCACCACAGTGTCTACAGACATGGGTGTCAGTTTTAGGGCTTGAGATGCAGAGATGGATCTTGGTCCTTTGGGTTTCCATAACACCTAGAGAACTGGCTTGTCAGTTTGCACAGTAGAACCTGCCAGGAGTGTGGCTGAGGTGGCCTTGCATCTGAATTTGAGAAGTTTCTACTGACTGATCTTCAAGTTCACTGATTCATTGGCCATGTCTGGTTGTGTGATGAGCCCTTCAAAGGCACTCTTCATTTCTGTTATAGTGTTTTTGATTTCTAGCATTTCCTTTGCTTCTTTCTTAGAGTTTCCACCTCGGCTTATGTTACCCATCTGTCCTTGCATGGCGTCCACTTCTCCCATCAGAGCCTTAGGATCTTAATCACAGTTGTGTCAAGTTTCTGGTCTGGTAGTTCCAACATCTCTGCCACATCAGAGTCTGGTTCTGATGCTCAGGATTGTCTTTTCAGACTCTGCTTTTTCTTTCCTTTTGGCATATTTTGTAAGTTTTTATTGAAAGCCAGACATGTGCTGGGTGGTGGGAACTGTGGTGAATGGGCCTTATTATTGTGAGGACTCATGTTGGTCTGGCTGGAGTTACTCTGTTCAGTGTTTGCTGCAGGTTCCAAAGCTTCCGATTCCTCCAACGTCCTTGTCCTTGGTGCCCTTGATGTGGGCGTCCCTGTGTCCTCCTCGGAGCGTCTGTGTCTGGCAGCTTTTTCAGCTGGAACCCATGGTGATGCTGGAGGTAGTTGGTGATGTGGTTGGACGGGGGAAGGGGAGCATTCTGTAATCTTCTGATTAAACCTCAGCCCTTGTGGGCCTGGGTCTGTGCCTGCGACCTTCACCAGGGTCTCCCATGGCAGCCCCCTTCCCTGCCGCAGCGGCCCCAGTCTGCCTGCTTGAGGCCCTGACCCCTTCTGGCGCTGTGGGCTCTGGCAGGCCCTCCCCTGGAGACGGCCGGGGGGGACCACGGCGGCTACTGTTCCCTCCCTGCCAGAACCAGGAGCGGGTTCTTTTCTGGATCTTGACCAGGTGAACCTGGTAGGTTCCTGGAGGGAAACCAGGACAGTGTGGGGCCCCCTAAGATGCCTCCCCCGACCCCATTTCTCATGCTAGTTCACTCAGCCTCCAGCAGTTTGTCAGAATTACCATTTAAATGAAGCCCTGGTTCATCTTCCACTGGCTGGCCTGTGCTCCAGGGGAGCTGATCTCCACTGTGATTCCCTGGACTCGCCTGTCTCCAGCTTTGGGGTGGTGACCTCGGTTCTCTGATGGGGCTGAGAAAAGGGGCTCATTTTCAGCTTGTGTGGCTTCTTCCTAACTGTGCTGCACTGGGCTCCCCAACCCTGCCTGGTATCCCGTCTGCTTGTTCTGTGAGTTACTGAGAAGGTTGTGCTGTGGATTCCTCAGCTCTTTTACTTTCCTCAACTTCTGTGATACACTTGGAGCCATGCTACTGGGTGCTTGTGTGTTCACGTTGGTAACATCTTCCCGGTGGGTCTTCTCTATCTGTGGTGAGGCCTCATGCCTAGAAGCCCCCTGGTCCTGACACAGCCACACTGGGCGCTTTGGTTAGTGTTTGTGTTGTCTGTCTCTCTCGACCATGTCGTGTTCGAGCCCTGTGTGCTCTTACATTGAACAGGCCGCGTGTGAGCAGCAGGCAGGTGACTGCCACGAGCTCTAGGGGTTGGAGTGTTTTGCCCACTTAGATTTAAGGTGTGATGTCAGGCTCATCGAGGTTATTTCTGCCGTCTCCGTTTTCCACTTGACCTCACCGTCTACTTCTTCCCTCCTTTCTTCTCTTTGGGTGATCACAGGAGTTCTGTCATTGCACTCCCCTCCTGCTGACTGTTGCTGTGTGGTCCCCTGTCCAGTTGGCTGTCGTCTGTGTTGAAAGGAAGGGTGGCGCCAGGCGTGGAGCTTGGGCCCTGCACCCCTCACCTTCCTGGGTCCTATCTCAGACCGACCTGGGCTCTCCCCAGGCAGGGGCCTCCTGCTGCGTGTGCTTGGCCTGCCTGCCATTTCTCTCGTTCCGAGGGGCTTCGCTGTGCCAGCGTCTCCTGTAGGCACTGGTGATGCGGTGGTTGTTTCTGAGATGATTTCCTCTTCTCCCTTCTCTCCCCTCCTGGTGCTGTACTGACTTTCTGCCGAGCCCACTCTTCCCTCAGCCCATAGGTACCCCCTCCAGGTGCAGGGGGCGGGCGCTGATCATGGTGGAGATGGCCGGCTGAGCCATGACTCCTGTCTGCTGGGTGAAGGCCAAGCGCAGTATTGGCTGCCAGTAAACACAGTTCTTACATCTCCTCAGGAAGGTTTTGCATGCTGGTGGGTGGAGTCAGAGCAGAAGGGAGCCACCTGCCCCCTCCCCAGAAGTTGTGTTGGCCACACGGCTCCTGGGACGTTGGGGAAATGGTGCTGCCGGCCTGACCCTGTCGTATCCTCCACAGCCCAGCACCCACTGAGGCCAGTCCTGGGGGCGGAGCCCTGAGGCCACCTGGCGGGAAGAGGAGCCAGGTGACGGTCAGCACGAAAAACCTGGGCACAGTGTCTCGGCCAGCGGAGGGCGGCCCAGGCTGGTGCATATGCCGAGGGACTTTGTCACCATGGAGGCAGCTTCACACACGTGTCCTGCGCTCGAGTGACCTGGGGTGTTGGTGCTTTTATCTTGACTTAATCACGAGCCCATGTCTTGTAAAATCTTATAAAATCGTGTCTTGAGCAGTTCTGCGTCTGGCTGTGTGACACTGGTGCAAGTGAGGGCAACTGGACAGCCTCGGGTGGGGGTAAACCAGAGGCCAGAAAGGGCTGCAGGCTTCCTCCTCCTCTGTGCTGCCCCCCCACAGATGGGGTGGCCCAGGGGGACCAGGCCTGCGACAGGCCGGCCGCAGCCTCCTGTGCTGTTGCTGCGGCAGCGTCCAGCCACGGCCTTGCTCGGCATGGTCTTAGCTGCAGTGTGCTGTGCGGGGGACACGTGTGGTTCAGTGAGAACCACAGGGCTGGAAAGATGGGCGGCTGGCGTGCACGGTCCAGACCCTCTTTTCTGGGTCGGTTCTGCAGGGCAGGAGCGGCTGTCTTCCCACCTCCAGTCTGTTCCGGCATCCAGCACACGTGGGTGCCGCACGCACATCACCTCCTTCATTCAGTTCTGTACACTCAGAAAGCACACACTGCATGTTAGAATCCTGCCTGAGACCAGCTCCAGCCACACATGAGAGATAGTCTGGCAGCTCAGGAGCCCCCGAGCAGCGTGCGGCCAGCGGCTTTACAGATGCCTGCTGCAAGAGGATGCTCCGAACCCCATGCACACCCTCCGAGATGTGGGGTTCTCAGGGGAAACATGGGAAGTGCCACGGCTCACTTGTTCGTTCTGGGAAAAGCTGCACTTCTCCTTATTAGTCCACTGCGAGTTCACACTGACCGATCCTGGAGCCAGGGAGCATCTCCCTGCTGACCGTGCACTCGTGTGGCTGGTCTCAGACACCCGAGTGCCCAGCAGGGTCGGCCTGCCTGCTGTGGAGCTTTGCACAGCTTAGGTTCCTGGTGCCCCTGCTCTTCCGTGGGCCGAGGTCTGGACGCAGCAGCCCTTGTCCACCTCTGAGGCGAAGATGCAGGTTGTGCTGTCATGGGGGCCACATACCCAGGATGGTGCTGGTGCACCTGGGCTGCAGAACAGACCGCCCCTCGGGACATGCGTGACAACAGGTCCGTGGGCTGGGAGGCCCAGCTCGGGCCACTTGGCGGGGCAGCCACTGGGCGTGCCATCCTGGCTGTTGCAGCCTCACCAGGAGTTGGTTTCTCCTGCCTAGGCTGAGTGCTGGACTTGTGGCGACGCTTGCCTTGCACTGGCTGGACCTGAGACAGATCATTTTTAACCCCTGAAAGAGCCTTACCTCATACTTGTGTGAGATTGTAACTTTGTAGATTGACTTTATTTCATTTAAGCCTAAAAACATGCCTCCCTCTTGAAAAGAAGGAAGTTTTCCACTTTAGACAAAAGATTAGCCACAGACCACTTGACTGGCAGAGGTCACATGGTGAGGGTCCTGGATGGCCCAGTGGCCTGTGTCCAGGCTAAGCCACAGGCCACGTGAGGCCACGCTGGTGGGAAGGCTCTTCTGCAGGGCTGCCCCACAAGGTCCTGTGTTCGTATCTGCCAGGGGCAGCAGAGACGGTGCCCGCAGAGCAGCATCTGGGCCTTGGCAACAGAAAAGCAAGCAGGCAGCTTTTGAGAAGCAACAAAATGAACTGTTTTTAGTGTAATTGAAAAAAACCACACACACACAAGAGCCAGCCCTGGTGGTCCAGTGGTTAAAGTTCGGTGCACTCTGCTTCAGCAGCCCAGATCCAGTTCCCAGTGATGGAATCACACCACCCGTCCGTCAGCTGCCATGCTGAGGTGGCGGCTCACATGGAAGAACTAGGACTCACAACTTGAATATACAACTATGTACTGGGGCTTTGGGGAGGGAAAAACAAAAGAAGATTCGCAATGGATGTTAGCTCAGGGCGAATCTTTCCCAGCAAAAAATAAAAAAGTGTTTCCAAATGTTTAAAAAAACAAAAAAAAACCTCCCCACAGGATTGCAGAGAAGTGGCCTTTTGAGACGTGGAGACTGGCCAGTTCACCACGTAGACCCATCAATGCTCTTTTAATACTGGTCCAGCTTTGCCACCCAAGGGAAACTGGACTCATCCACTAGCTGGGAGATAGGGTCCAGCTGCTTCCACTCACCCTCAGCACATCAGGCCCCAGTGGTCACCACCCGCTCCAACCAGGTGCCTGGTGGCTGGGCCACCCTCCTTCGTGCAGCCATGGTTTCTGGAGCCCACCTGGGTCCCAGTGATGGATTTGGTGGGGAGCCCCAGACTCTCGCGACTTAGGTCAGAGCTGGAAGCATAAAATAGCAAATGAGCTACTGTGGATTGTGGGAAACAGCACGAGTGCTGTGAGGGAAGACAGCAGGCGGGACAGTGTGCTGGGCTGCTGTCTTGTGGAGGACGTGGTCAAGAAGCCCCTTGGACAGGGCCGCAGAGGGGCAGCAGAGAGCAGAGTGCCTTTGTAGAGGCAAGGAGAGCAAGCAGGACCGCCATGCGCACAGCACTCAGGACAGGCAGAAGCCCTCCAGGTGAGTGGGGCCCGCAGGCCCTGAGGGCCGCATCTGCTGAGCCCCAAGTCGGACCACGAAGTTTCATTTAACAGGAGACCCCCGTACAGGTGGGCCCTAAACACTGCGTGCTCAGCAACAGGGTGAACAAGAACTAAGTCCTCCTCCAAGAAAGGGCCACAGGACCCTTCCATCTCATCTCTGCCCGGTGCTGGGGAAGGGAGCCTCTCCTGGAGACCCACATTGCCTATGCCGTCAGCCAAACTCCTAACATGGAAAACTTGCTCAGCCTGGCCCTGAGCAGGGTGCTCCCAGACGGGCAGAAGAGGCGAGCGGAAGCCCTCTGGGAGAAGGGAATAAAAGAGCATGAGCCCACGCTCTCACAGTCCCCCAAACGCACAGGACACAGGCACCATGAGCAAGACCTGACAGAACCAGACCCAGAGACTTAGGATACTGGAAATAGCAGACAGGAAATATATAGAGTGAATTCATTTTTGAAAAGGACTAGAAATTACCAAGAAGACATTAGAAGAAAAACCCTCAATGGATGGATTAAACCACCAAGTAGACATGGCTGAAGAGAGAACTGGAGAACCGGACAATCTGAAGAAATCATCCGGAAAAAACTGGAAAATGTGACAGCAAAGTCAAGAGACACCAAAGAGAATCTGGCCTGTGAGTGACGGGATCTCAGAAAGAGATGGTGCGGACGCCCCGTACTTGTCGCGGGGGCACCATCCCCAGGTGCAGAGCTAGCGGATCCAGCAGAATGACAGGCGCTCCCACGGGGATGCATCACAGGGAAACTGCACCAACAGCCAGACGACACGGCAGTACGCAGCACTGCCCATGTCCCAGCGGCAACGGTGGAGTTGAGAGCGTAGATCTTCACTGTGCCGAGAGAGGATAACCACCACCCTGGTAGGAAAACTGCCATTCAAAAAAGTGCAGAATGAAGTCACATTCAGACAACACAAGCCCCTCGTGCATGGCTAGTTTCTCAGTCTGGGTACTGCTGACATTTGGGGTTGAACACTTCTTTGTTGTGGGGACTGTCCTGTGTGTTGTAGGGTGTCTAGCAACATCCTAGTCACCAGCAGTCTTGCAGCAAACCTGCCCCAGTTGGGAACCACTGTTCTAGTGGATAAACTCCAGGCAGCAGGAAGACGGTCCCAGTTGAACAGACTCAGATGCAAGGAGGAATGCTGAGCAGAGAATAAACAGTGACCATGCAAACAAAAAGAATAATGGCCAAATGGGCGGATTTCTTAAAGCATGTAGGATTTTAAAAGATGGACAATAATAGCATGCAGTATAAAAACAAACACACAAGCAGATTGTCAGGCACCGTGGCTGGAGCACCTGGTCGTCCTGCCTTAGACCAACACCTCCTGTGCTTCAGGAAGAGTCTTCTGCGACTCTGCACGCAGACCGGATTCTGTAAATCACCATCGCTGGAAATCCCAACTCCGTGAGCTCCACGGTGAGGCCGCTCCACCGGGCGAGCAACTGCTGGTCGTTCACGAGAGCTTCAGAGCGGGGTTCCCACACAGGCAGGCAGCACTGACTGCGGCAGGACTTGTCATGATGCAAAGGATACAGCGTATTGATGATCTTGTTTTGGGATCGAGGAGACAGGCAGAGGGCAACGGGCAGCCTATGGCCTTTAAGGAGAAGCTCCGCACTCAGGCTGATGCTCATGGCTGATGGGATTTGTTCTCTCAGCCTGAGTTGGGCCATTGGGGTTCCTGGGACTGAGAGACTGGAGGTACAAATGGGCAACACCAGACCATCTACAAAAACAGGACTGCTGCCCACAGCCTGCAGTGGCCAGTCCAGGAAACCAAGCAGTAGTTCATGGCAGCCACCCAGAATGTGGTCAACAACCACCAGCTTCTCTAGTTCTTGCCCCACTTCCAACTTAGGACCAGCCAGAGAAAGCCAGGGTGCCCCCTAACCAATCACGAGGACGGCCGCTTCTGGTCAGCCACCCAGCTTCCCCAGGCCCATGGCCTCCATCAGGCACAGCAGAGGGAGCCATCCCCCTCGAGCCTCTGCCTGCCGGGTGATGGGCCGACACCCTGCCACACAGCCTCTGTTCTCACGTCGTCTCTGTTCACGTCCTCATCTCTAATAAAGTCAGACCCGGTAATAGTACCCCTAGGTGTTTCCCAAGAGGGATGAAATCACAGGTCTGCCATAACGTGTCCAGACTGCACAGAAGCTTTCTTCGTGACAGCCAGAGCTGGAGACAACATGGGTGTCCACCAGGAGGGCAGGGAATAAATGAACTGTGATTCCTTCACCCTGAGGGTGCCGTGCAGAAAGGGGAGGAATGAGCCCCTGATGCGACGGACTCGTGGATGGTCCTCGGAAGATGCCCTCTGGGTGACAGACAGGTGTGGGGCTCCAGGAGGGCAGAGGGACTGCTCCGCGTCTGGCCTGCAGTGGCTACACGCGAATGCACATGTGTCGGAGGAACATGCACACTCCCTTGAGGCTGTGTGCTCTCAGCCGTGCGTTTCACCCCGCGTGAGTCACACCCCAAGAAGGAGGTACTGGGCCTCGGCCTGCAGGTGAAGGGCCAGCCCCACGTGGGGAGGACGGCCTGAGATGCATCCAGGTGCCGCTTCCCGCTGGGCACGTTCCCCACACAGGTGCAGGGGCTGTCCTTCCCTACCCACCCTCGATCCCTCCTCACCTGCAGGACACCCCCACACCCTGGCTGTGGCTGCTGGGGGCCTCGTACGTACCTGGCAGCAGCTGCTACGGGTCCATCAGCTGAAGTGAAGGAAGTCCCGGCCCTCCTGCAGGTGCAGTGACCTCAGATTGTCCTCAAACGCACCTCCTGTGAGGTCCTGTGGGAGCAGCAGCAGGTCCAGCTCGATCCAGGCCTCCCCTGGTCCTCACTGCAGGCCCCACAGATCCTCCTGAGGTGGTCTTGGGTGTGGAGCTGCTTGTGGCCACTTGTCAGGTGGTCCACTAGAAAGTGCTCCACTGCTGAGAGGGGAGGGGCCAGAAAGTGGGGGGCCAGCAAGGGAAACAGCCAGTGGGAGGGTCCTCAGAAGCGCCCCCACCAAGCCTGGCCTCAGCTCCTCCCTGCAGAAGGCAGCTGACCCCCACTGTGGGGACTCAGGGAAGGAAACGAACCTCACGGGCAGTCTCTCCTGCTCACCCCTTCCCAGGCCAGACCCGGCTTCCTTCCTGCCGACTGACCCTGATTCTCCACGATGCCCCACACCCCCACCTCCTCTGCAGAGGCCAGACGTCGGAGGTGGCCCCTGGGGACAGAAACTGCGACTCAACAGCCAGCTGTCGACGGATGCCCCCTGGCTCTGACCCCGCCCTGCAGTGGAGAGAGGGCCCTGACACCAAACAGGCAGAGCTGGAACCGTGCAGGGAGGGTCAGGACCCCAGGAGGCAGGCTCCACCCGAGTCTTACAAGTGACCCCATAAGGTCCCCGAGGTGACCCCAGGATTGTTGCCAGACTCACGGGGCTCCAGGGTGGCCTCTCCACCGGTGCTGGCTTTGGCCAGGCCACCCAACCCCAGCCCTAACCCCTGACCCTGAGCCCTCCTGTGTGAGGCCACGGCAGGTTTTTGGCAAACACTTGCGTGCTCCCAGGCCCGTCCCTCAGCCCAGGCCTCCAGGACTCGGCTCCCAAAACAGGAACGGCCCAAGGGGCATGTCTCCGCCTCCAGCAGGATGTGGGAGGGGCCCAGTGCTGCGGCCACCATGTTTGTCCTCGTTGGGTGTCATCGTCTGTCCTTGGGCCCAACAAGGGGAATCAGCCATGCCCACCCTTGGTCTCAGCCGTTACTACCAGGATTGCTAGAAATATATAAATGGAACCTGGAAAACACCTGAGATTTCCACCTTCTGTCCTCTACCTGCCGACCGTTCTCAAGCCCCCTTCTCTCTTGTTCTCTCTGCTCCCAAGTTTTCAAAGGAAACACACCTGGGTTCAGAGCCAGCCCAGCCCAGCCCAGAGTGGCCCAGCGGTCATTTACAACGGCCGGTGGAGCTGGGCTCATGGAGGGGTCAGTGGGAAAGGGAGGCCTGTCCTGACTGGGAAAGGGGACTGCTCCTTATGAAGAACCTCCTGAAGTTAGACCAACACATCCCACCAAGAGAGTGAAAAGGCCAGACAGAAAACCACCGGATGATCAGAATCCAGAAGGTACGGAGAACTACAGGTTGTCAGGAGAAGATGGCAATCCCATAGGCAGACGGGGAACCCAACTGGAGACATCAACAAGAGGAATCCACGTGCCTGCCGCACGGGCAGGCGCTGGGCCTCACCAGCATCAGACGGCGTCTCAAAGCCACAGTGAGAGCCCCGCACCCCAGCCAGGGGAACTGAGATCCCATCGTCCAGTGATGAGCCTGCGGCCTGGGCCCTCCACCTCTGGGCCCCCCCGCCCGGCCACCTCGTGGGACGTTGTCTCGTGAAGTGGAAGACAGGCCACCCCACGACCCAGCTTCTACTCCTGGGATCAAACCCCAGAGAAACGGCAGGCGAGCACCAGGATGTCTGCACAGCAAAGTGATGGGCACCGGCTCGTGGAGGCCCGCTGGCATGGTGCTGGTGACACCCACGCAGCTGAACACCAAAACGCCACGGAGGATGGGCACGCGGCCTCACAAACATGAGGACGAGACAGATGAGACCGAGAGCACACAAGTGTGGCTCCACTTGCCGAGCTGCAGACACAGGCAGCCACGCCTGCGGTCGGGGAAGCGCTGCGCACGCTGTGAGGACAGCACAGCAGTGACGCAGCCGGGCCGCTGGGCGGGTAGCTGCCTCGTCCTTCGTGGGGCTGCTCAGGGGAGCGCTTTGTGGTGATGTGTCCTCTGTTTTCTAATAAAACTTCCTTCACAAAGCAGCTGGTGGGCCATGTTTAGGCCGTTTTCTGACTGTATTAATAATTCACAATAACAAAGTTCATTTGAAGAAGAAAAACTTGAGAAAAATTTTGACAAAGAAGAATAACGAAGGAAGACCAGCCTTACTAAATGGCAAACGTGGGAAAGCTACAGTAAGTCATGGTGCTGGTACGCAAACAGACACCTCAGCAGAACAAGACCGAGGGTCCAGAACAGCTCCAGATGGAAATGTGTACCCAGCACACAAAGACGGCATTTCATTACCAGGAAGACATGGATTACTCCCCAAATGACACTGGGACAAGTGAGTACCCAAAGGGAAAGGAGATTTCATCCTACTTCAGTCTTGACAAGAAAAATTCCACTTGTAGCAAAGAAATAACAAAAGAACAGAAGCCTGAGAAGCAAACCTGGAGAATGCGCTTTACAACTTCACCATGAGGAGTCACTGTCTGAGAATGAAGAAAACCCAGAAGCCATAAAAGAAAAAAATCAATTAATTTGATTATGTCTAAATAAAAAATTTCTAAATGGCAGAAATATGTTTAGTCAAACGACACACTGAGGAAAATTTGCAAGGCCTATCACAAAAGGTTTGTTTTTGTAATTGCATAGAGAAAAATACTGACAGGCCAATAGAAAAATGGGCTAGTGAAAAGAATCGGTAATTTACAAAAAGTGAAATAAAGATGCTTATAAATATGTGAAGAGACGCCCTCCTGACCCGCAGCGTGACACTGCCGACTGGAACTGGAGCCTCACTGTTTTCACCTGCGATCTGTGGAGACGGTGGGTTTGATCGCAGCATCGACGGAAGGTGGTTGGTGGAGCGTAAACTGGCACAGCCTCCGGGGCGGCAGCTGTGGGATCAAAACTCTGACCAGCAGCTTTTAGAAGTTCCCCCCACGTGCACAGCCCCTGAGCGAAATTACGCTATTCACTGCAGCAGGATTTTCACAGCCAACGACAAGAATGGCCTACAGGCACCTCGATAAGGGACTGGCTAATAAACGGATGAAACACCCACGCAGCAGCATAGTTGGGGGTAATGTGTCCCCCAGAAGCTCCCCCACAGAACTGTCCCAGCCCTCGGGGGGCAGGGGTGTGGCCACCACTGAGTGAGCCTCGAACTCTGTCCGGAGCTCCCGCCCATCAGAACCGCCCCTGGCCCAGCAGGCCCGAGGCTCCCTGCTGCCTCGATGCGCACACGAGTCGTGAGGGAGTGGAGCGGGTGGCAGGGCGCGTGGGCTGACGCTGCATGTGGCCACACTGGGCCTGGGCTCCAGCACACAAACGACAACAAGAAAACACGTCTACAGGGCAATCGGGGGATCTCGACACTCACGGGATATTTGCAACTTCTGGGTGTGATAGTGGAATTATGGTAGTTCTTTTAAGCTTTCATCTTTCTGGGAAACACTAACAAACGAGAGTAGGCTAGAATTTGCCTCAGTACAGGGGTGGGGGAGTGGGGAGTGTGGAGGACACGAGACGGCCGGGTGGCGGGCGCACGGCAAGGGTGCACAGGCTGGCTTCCTGTCACTTTGGAGAGTTGCCTTACGAAGGCAGTAACAACAGTGAGACAGCGCCAGTGAATTTACATGGAAGAATCTCCAAAATATATTGCTATGTGAAAAAAGCAAAATACAGAAAAAGTATGTATAACACGCGGCCACTTGTGTTTGTGTTGGCTCCCTCGGGAAGGATATACAAGAATCAGGTAACTACTGTGTCTCTGACCCTCCAAGGACACAAAGTGGGCGACGGAGAGGGGAAAGGGACGCACTTGCCACCAAGGCCTGCTGTCCGGGAAGGTCTCACGGGGGGTCTGATTCACGGCAATTCTGGGTCCCTGAGAAGTAGACCCTCAGCAGAGCCCATCTCCTCTGAAAATGAGATATAATTTCTGTAGAATTTAACTTTTTGTTTTACCACTGCTTCTCGTAGCCTCATAATTATTCCTTTCATTCCCCTGGCAACTGGGAACTCTGCTTACGTTGGCTGGAAAGAGGTTCAGGCGGGGAGAACGCAGGAGGGCGGGTCTGTCCCCCTGGCAGGCCCGGCAGCTCAGGACCCTGCCTCGTGCACCCACCTCCTGTGTAAGCCCGCCCCTGGAGTACAGGCGGCACTGGCCCTCGGACACCACACAGGCGTGGGGTGGCACTTCCATCCCCCTTGTAGACCCTGCCCCTTGCTGGCTTCGACAGAATAAGCTGCCATGCTGGGGGGGCAGCCAGTCAGGAACAGCCAGCAAAGCACCAAGGATGTTGGTGCAGCACCCTCAAGATCTCATTTCCATCAACGACCGTCGAGGAGGCTTGGAGCGTGGACCACCCCACAGCCGAACCTCTGTGCTGGCTGACACCTCACCTACAGCCTCATGAGACCCGGAAGCTGAGGACCTGCAGAAACTGTGAGGTAATAAATGTGTTTGTGGTAATTTGTTAGGTAGCAGTGGTTAAATAAGACAGGTTCAAGCTGGCAAACAGAAAAAAACCTTGGTGACCAGTCGGGGCTGGCGCTCCCTGGCTGCACAGCGCTCACACAACCGGACGGCACGTGAAAAGAAGGAAGCTGCCCACCCACACCATCCACAAAAGCAACTCAAAACAGATCAAAGGCCTAAAATGTAACAGCCGAAGCTGTAACTCTCAGAAGGAAACACAGGGTAAGTCCTCATGACCCTGGATTTGGCAATGGCTTCTTAGCTCTGACACCAAAAAGATGAGCAACCAAATTAAAAACAGATAAATTGGACTTCATCAAAATTAAACACTTTTGTACATCAAAGGACACCATCGAGAGAGTGAAAAGACAAGCGACACAAGGGGAGGAAACATTTGCAAATGGACCTGACTGGGGGCTTGCATCTGGAACAGAGAAGAAGTCAGGACTCAGCAGAAGGACAAACTTCCAGCTGAAATACGAGCGAGAGACTTGCAGAGACTTTTCTCCCAAGAAGATGTTCAGGTGCCCACAAGCATAGATGAGACGCTCAACATCACTCAGCATCAGTGAAACGCCCTCCAGGACGGCCACGACAAACACGCACCGATAACTGGTGTGCGAGGAAGCCGTGTGCGCTGCTGGTGGGCTGTACGGTGGGGCAGCTGTCGTGGAAAACAGCCTGCAGTTCCTCAGAAAGCTGAACGGTCACCAGCGCTTCCACGGACAGGTGCACAGCCAGGAGACGTGGGGACACGTGTCCAGAGGGAAACTGCTGCAGGTGTTCATGACAGCGTCAAGCTGCGACAGGGGTGCCTGTGAGGTTTGTTCTCTTCACTGTTGTGCCACCTTGGGTCCATATCAGTTATCTGCTGCGTGTAACCAGCTACCACAAATCGAGCAGCCTAAAACCACACACATTCATCATCTCACTCTCTGGGGCTGGAACACAGGAACAGCCCCAGCCATGTGGGTAGGGGCCGTGAGAGAGAGCCGCCCTCGCAGCCCCAGCCAGGGGCCGGATCCTAGCACGAGGCTCCTTGGGGTCAGCCGTCCTCACACCCACTTTCCCCACAGTGGGGTGACTTCTCCAAAGTGGCACCTCGACCGAGGGGCAGAGCTGGGATGGCCTGGCCCTCCTCAGGGTCACCATCCCGGCCTGACCAACTTGGCTGAGAAATCTGTCCTCAAGTGTCTGAGCTCGGCCCAGTGGGGGAACGGCCTTGGGAGGTGATGTCCCCCACCAGGACATACCACCCTGGCATGACACACCAGTGCACCCTGACCGGCCTGGCTGGGCCCCAGCGCAAGCCCCACAAAGGCGCCAGGATGACACCATAAACTGCAATTAGAAGCTCTGAGTAAATTCCCATCACTGCAAAAGGGGATTGGGATCTTAAACAGACCAGCCACCAACGAAGAGGATGCTCCCCTCTCTGCCTCCCTCCTACCCGCCACAGCACACTCGGGCTTTCCTTGCAGGTCCTGCTCAGTGGCATAGACACATGCCCTGCCTGTGTCCTCTGCTGTTGTCTTACTCTGGCGGAATGAACATGCATCTGCCTCCATTCTGCAAAAGCACTGCCTCCAGGAAGGCCTCGGGCTGGGTGCCCTGGTCACTGAGGTTCAGTCTGATCACCCGCCTAGGCTGGCACCTGCCGGAAGTGGTGGCCTGCTCCCCGTTGTGTTCTCCCATGACCCCCAACAGCACAGCATGGCCTGCTCACCCATTGACCACCATGCCCTCCTGGGGACCCTTGAGCCCAGCCCCACCCCATGACCTGGGCCCCGTAGATGGGCTGGGTTAGACTCATGTGAAAGGTGACGCCTTATGTGAATACGTGTGAATGAATGAGAATGTATTCTGACCACAGGGAAGAATCTTCTGAGCATGACACTAACTGCTCACTAGAGAAAAGCTGATAAATGTTCTGTGGTAAAGATAAATTCTTCCGGGAAGAAGCTGTGAAAAGGTGAGTCACAACCGGGAGAAAATGTCTGCCACACGCTGATCGATAAAGGACTAGAGCCAGACTCTAACGAGCTCCTGAAAATCAACAGGCAGGGACAGGTGGCCCACAGGGACAGGCTCGGTCCTGAGCAAGCCCGTTGGGCGGAAAGGCTGAGACGGGCCCACGAGTGGCCCCGGGTGGCATCACCCTGTCACTGGCTCTGTGCGTGGGGGCGTTTTCCAAGACCCGCTGAGGGGCAGAGGCCCTTCGTCTGCTTCAGGTCACGAGACTGCCACGGCCTTGCTGTCCCATAGCCATCGGGAAACAACCCGGAGCCACTGACGGCTACACGTGACACTCACACACAGGATGCTGCTCAGAAAGTGACCCAGGGGCAGGGCGGAGCCTGACCTCAGTGAGCAAGACAGGGTCCCGGGCCTCTTGCTGTGCGGCCCTGATGGAAAGCCCGGAGCCAAGGGACGGGCACAGCCTGCCCGGGCCCCAGTGCCTGCCAACCTCAGAGGGAAGGCGAGGACATGACAAGAACTCGTGAGGAGATGGGGTCCTCAGCGGGGGTGCTTCTCAGCGACTATTTCATCCCCCTAGAGCTCTGCAGGGTCTTGCACATCGAGTCGCTGGCGGGAGCATCTGAGGGTTTGGGAGCTCCCTTGGGCCTGGCACTCCACAAGTTTCCAGTAAGTGTTGCTTTTATAGAAATGCGACCCATTTTACCAGGTGCCATGGCCGCCTCTCCCCCAACACCCCGGGCAGCCCCAGGCCTGGCTGGAGGTGACTCTGTGGTCCCTTGTCCCCCACCCTGGTGCAGGTCACCCTCCCAGACCCCCAGGGCCACGGTCACCACCTCCCATCCTAGCCCAGGGCCTCCTGCTGGACGTGACACAAGAGCTTGGCCTGGAACAAGGGCATGGACTGCTGCGGCCAAGTCTCGGACGTCTGAGATCTCGTGACCAGGGGCTCATCCCAGCCACACGGCCATCATGTCCCCATAGCTGAAGCCCGACACTCACCAGCTTCACGCAGATGACAAAGGGTGGCCGTGCAGCCCGGAAGTGCAGGATCGGAACCCGGGGCTTGGGCCTTTCCTAAAACAAGACGGGCTGTGGGCTCTGCTCCGCGCTGCCCCATACTCGTTCCTCAGGGAGGGCTGTCACACTGGGCGTGTGCCGCCCACGACCCCTGCACCATTCACAGCTGGACGTGCTCAGACGGACACCCAGGTCACAGCCTCCTGGGCTGGACCCGGCCTCCACCCTCCCGACCTGGTCACCTTACAGCCGCCCCAGAACCAACCCCAGGTGGGTGACGGAGAGAAGCAGACCTGAGTGCACTCTCCAGTGGGGGATGGGCGGGCACAGGCCCTGGGGCCCCCAGCAGCCTGGGGGCTATATCTGCCGGGCCTGGAGCCGTCTGGGCCCAGGTGGCCCAGAGGCGGGCCGGGTGTGTGCAGGCGACCCCGAGCTTGGCCAGGGCTCTCCCAGGGGGCCCCACACACCTCTGAGTCCTCGTAGGAGTAGAAGCCCTTCTTGATCTTGTTCTCGTCCACATCACAGAAGGCGACCACCTGAGGGGACACAGGACACCAGCCTCAGGGACACTAGGGGATACTGCGCTGCGGGGAGAGGGGAGGGATGGGGGCCCCACCTTGCGCCGTGACTCCGCCGTGAGGCTGCGGTACAGCCGGCGGCCCTGCCTGCCTGCGTTCCAGATGGTGAAGGCAGCCCAGTGTGGCAGGGCCCGTTCTTCCAGAAAGCGGACACGGTGGGTCCAGATGGTGGTCCTGCGGGGGAAGGGGGGGTGGGACCAAGGTGGGTGGAGCCGCCAACCACCCGGACCTTCCTCCCCACTCACCCCACCCCTCTGCCCAGCCGGGCTCAGCCCCCTGGTCCTTGTCCACCTGGCCCTCGTCCCCCCCACCCCCGTCCCTGTAGGCCCACATCTGCACCCCCAGCCCCCAGTGCTCACCAGCTGCTGGCTGAATGAGTGAGTGAATAAATGAACCCGTGAACCCAGAACCGTGTGGCCAGGGTTGCACAGCCTTGCCCACTCTCATGGCCCCACACAGACCCCAGGACGTGCCGTTGTCACATCCGTGTGCTCAGGAATCCTGGGGGATACCAGGCACAGACCCTGGGGAACCTGAGGGGAGACACAGCCACCCTGACATCAGGCACCTGCCACGTGGTCACAGTGAGCAGAGGGCTCTGGACACGACCCTTGAGCCTCCACGTGGCTTCCTTTCCCGTGCCAGCGTCCTGACGGCCAGGTCGTCTTCTCTAGGCAGGGACTCCCTCCGTCAACCCCTTGCTACATGCAGACCCCGTCCAGGTCTGGCGACTGGGCTTGCAGCTGCCTGACCCCCAAGTGCGACAGGGAGACCAGCATGTCCAGCTGTTTCCAGTTTAATAGGGTCAGATGCACAGAAAGGGCCTGTCGACCCTTCCAGCCCTAAATCACAGACGTGAAACCATCACTTAAGAATCTGGAAAGTTAAGAGGGAACTGCTGTGGGCACACAGTGGACCAAACATGACCCCAAGCCTTCGCTCCCAGAGAAACCATAGTACACAAGGAAGGGGCCACTGTTGTGTAACCCACAGCTCACCCCTGGAAGCACATCTGCACGCAGGGCCTCATCTCAGACCCCTCCTGGGACAGGCCACTCGCCCACAGCTGCATCCTGGATGACAGCCCTGCCTGGGCAGGTGGTTCTCAGGCCAGGCCCGGACCCCTCTGCAGGCCCCAGTCTCTGCAGCATGGGGTCGGACCTCCCATCCTGGTCTCCTCCAGCGCAGGGCCCCAGGTGGGTGCTGAACCCGCCATGCGGCAGCCTTCGCCCTGGTGCCTTCACCATGGTGACCACCCGTTCCGGGTGCCCCCCGAGGTATCTCAATGGAGCAGTTCCTCCGGGTGGGGTGTGGGCCGCAGACAGGTGACGTGCGACACCTGTTCTAATAAAATGCTGGTGCTGGGCAAGCAACCGACGCCCGTCAGCTTTCCCACAGAGCAGGTGCCGATGGCGGGAGTCCCCTGAAGCCTGTCCGCCTCTGCCCATCCCAGACAGAGTGGTTCAGCTAGAGCTGTGCAGAGCGCCGTGACTTCCGTGGGGGCTCAGAGAGGCTCGCGAAGGCGAGTGACTCCCTGATCCTGCCAATCAGCACTTCACTCCTGGACACACTGCAGCCCGAGGAAGCCGCCCCCACACGGCCACACAGCTCTGGCAGCGCCCGAGAAAACGAAAGGAGCGCCTAAGAACGAGAGCTGTGAGCGCAGGGCCGGGGGTTCCAGGCGACTAGGGAATCCTGAGGGGGAGGGGAGGTGGCAGCTCGGGCAGAGGCATGTTCAGCCCCCTCCCCGAGTGGAGATGTGAGCAGGAACCCCAGCGATGGGGCACTGTGTGGGGTCCATGGGTTCAGGGTGTCTGGGCCCGGCAGATGGGACATGCCCTGGGGTTCCTGCCCGCAGGGACGTGCCGGGGGTGCCCCAGGGGTCCCGTGCAGGCCTCACCCCTCTCCAGTGCTTCCTCTCCCGTTCCTGGTCTTGAGTTACTTTTGTTGGCACAGGGTCCGGCCACCTTCGTGACTAAGTGCTTCTCTTTTTAACCAGTCAGTTCTCTGCAACTTGATGTGCAGATTCAATGAAACACCCGTCAAAATGCCCCAAGGCTCTGTGGACGTGTAGGAGGAAGCAGATGGCCCGGGCAGCCCTCGAGGGGATCACAGCAGCGGGCAGTACGTGGCCGGAAGCCTGGCGGGAGGGCAGCGAGGGGCCAGGCAAGGGGTGGTGCCAACCAAGGGATGGAGCAGGCCAGACACGCAGGATGCCTCACCCGCGTGGGCCCCCGGGGAGGGATGGGCCGACCCTGCCTCCTGCTGCACAGAATTGGGGGATGTGGGTGCAACTGCAAAAGGTAAACAAGGCCCCCAAAGAGGCACACGTGCCAGAGGCCACACGCACGCCCAGCGCCATGTCCTCTGGGGTGGCCTCCAGCCTGCAAACACCAGCACACAACCCGCCGGTGAGGTTGAGAAACTGCCAGGAAAACATCTGCACCGTGGGAGTGGAACGCTTCCTGCGGTGGCCCTGCCTCCCCAGCCCGTCCCGCTGTGTGCTCAGTTCTCGCCAGATTAGGCCTCTGCTGCTGTCCTCATGACGTGCTCTCCACCAGCCGCGAGGAGCAGTGCAGCCGTGGGCGGGGGTGCAGCAGCCAGGGCACAGGGTTCCCCAAACCCACAGGTCGTGTTTCCCGAACTGTCTGGAAGGAGCAGTGTGTCATGGCTGCATCACTGCACCAGGAGGCAGCAGGCCCAGCGGTCAGAGTAAGAGGTGGTGGGGGCTGCCAGCACCAGAGGCAGAGAGCTGGGAGGAGACTGCAGGGCTCAGGAGATGAGGGCCGCGTGTGGCGGAGCTGGACAAGCTACGACCACCAGCCCAGGGCGGACCTCAGGCTGAGCAACCGTGGGCTTCAGAGGGAAGGGGCAGGACGCCACCATGCCCGCAACATCCCGAGGACGTAGAGATCGGTGCTCAGGGCGACATCACACACGGGGGACGCAGAACCGTGGAGCAGCTGCCGCTCCGCCAGGGCCTGGGGCAGGGACAAGGAGGCCACAAGTCAGGGCAGAGCGTTGCTCCTTCATGCCTTCGGGCATCTGCGGGGCGTCAGAGTGGGACTGACGGCTCTCAGTTTAAAGCAAAGGCCAGAAGCAGGGAGCACTCTCAACGGGGGGCTGTGTGCGAGAGTCTGAGGGATTCAGGCTCGACAAGCCTGAGGGGGCAGTTACAGCAGGCGACTCTGAGGCATGCCCACTCACGGCACAGACTGTAATCCCGCACAGAAACTAGCCTGAGATCACCTCTTCTGAGCTGTGGGTGGCAAAGCCTCACGCTGCCAAAAAGGAAAAAAATGTTTCAACGTAAAAGATTTATGGTGTGCAAACAGGAGGAGGATGTGTGTGGCATGGAGCCCTTTGGCCTGCGCCTGGTCCTTACAAGATACATGCACACCCGCCACACTGCGGGCCGGAGGGCACCGTGGCCACCACCAGTCATGCCACGGGCCGGAGGGCGCCGTGGCCACCACAGTCACACCATGGCCTGAAGGCGCCGTGGTCACCACCACAGTCACACCACAGGTTGGAGGGCGCTGTGGTCACCACCACAGTCATACAGAAAGTCCCTTAACTTTAACCGGCTTCATAGGATCTCAAGCTGGGGACATAAGAACCTCCGCAGCGTCTCACAGCCCTGCAGAAGATTCTGGATCCCGGCATTTCACAGCCCTGCAGAAGATTCTGGATGTCCCGGCATCTCACAGCCCTGTCGAAGATTCTGGATCCCGGCGTTTCACAGCCCTGCAGAAGATTCTGGATGTCCCGGCGTCTCACAGCCCTGTTGAAGATTCCAGACCCTGGTGTCCCACAGCCCTGAGGAAGATTCCCGACCCCAGCGTCCCACAGCCCTGCAGAAGGTTGCAGATCCCGGCATCCCACTGCCCCGCAGATGGCTGCAGATGTCCTGGCGTTTCATAGCCCTGCAGATCTCTGCTCAGACAACCACCGTAGTACTTTATTCACCCAGAGTTTCCAACTCCAGTATGGTGGGGGAGGGGCTACTTTGTTGAAGAAGCACCAGACATTTACAAAATTTTAGCAAAGGTATAATTTAAAACATAGAGTGAAGTGCAAGGATCTAAGTGTACGTGCGGGTCGGTGGCTTATGACAAATGTACCCATGTAACCCACCCCGTCAACATGCAGAGTATTTCACATCACCCAGAAAGAGCCCCTGTGCCTGCTCCCCAGAGAAACCAGGGTTCCAGCTCCTACCACCGTGGACCAGTTCTGCCTGCCAGAGACGTTACGTAAGGGGAATCCCACAGTCTGCATGCTTCTGTGTCTGGTTTCTTTTCTTAACCATTTTTTGACATTAACGCACATTCTTACAAGCATCAGTAGCTTGTTTCCTTTAATGCTGAGGATCGCTCCATTACAGCAAACTCTGTGTATCCATCACCTGTTGATGACACTTGGGTTGTTCCCGGTTCTTGGCTATTATCAGTAGTGATGTGTTGAGCAATGTTTTCATTTCTCTTGCATAAACACCTAGACATGGAATTGCTGGCTCACAGGCCAGGGGTCAATTTAATTAATAAAAAGTGGCAAACAGTTTTCCAAAGAGGATGTACCATTTGCACGCCCAAGAACAGTGCATGAGAGTCCCGGAGTGCCACATCCTCACCACCACGTGGAATTGCCAGACAGTAATTTTAATCTTTCTAGTGGGTGTGTAGCGGGTGTAATTTGCATTTCTCTAACGGGAACAATGAGCACTTTTTCATGTGCTCATTGGCCAGTTATATATTATTGCTTTTTGAAGTGTTGGTTAAAGTATTTTGCCTATTGTTATTAGATTGTCTTTTTATTACTAGGTGGTAGAGGTTCTTTTTATGTATGCCCTCCATACTGGTCCTCTGTCAGACATATGGACTGTGAATATTTTCTCCCAGTCTGGTTTGCCTACTTATTTTCCTAATGAGTAAAAGTTTTATGAGCAAAAGTTTCAAATTTTGATGAAGTCCAATTTATCAATTTTTAAATGATTCTTGTGTCCTTGCTAATAAATTTTTCCCTGTCCCAAAGTTGTGAAGATATTCCCTGAAGTGTTTTCTTTTAAAGCTTTCTATTTTAGCTGCTTCTATATTTATATCTTAGATCCATCTCGAATTAATTTTTCTATATGATGTGAGATTCCTTTTTTCCCCATAAGGATATCCAGTTTTCTGTTTGTTGAAAATATTTCTCTTTTCCCATTGAATGCCCTTGGAGACGTGGTTGAAAATCAGTGGGGTGTATAATTGTGTGTCTATTTCTGGACTCTGTCTCATTGATCTCTTTGTCTATCTCTATGTATTGATACACTCTCCTGATTGCTATACCTTCAGAGGAAGTCTTAAAATTGGGCACTGCGAGTCCTCAGATTTTGTTCTTTTCAAGGTGATTAGGCCATTCTGGGTCCTTTGATTTCCCACGTGAATTTCAGAATCAGATGATCAGTTTCATTAGGATCACATGGAATCTACAGATCAGTTTGGGGGAGAACTGACATCAACAATACTGAGTCATCCAATCCACGAATGTGGTACATCTCCCATCTATATAATAATTTTATTTCGTTTCTCTCAGCAATGTTTTGTGATTTTTAGAGGCTATACATACCTTGTTAAATTTACCCATAAGTTTTATTTTTGATGCCATCATACATTTTTTTAAAGCTGCATTTTTATTTTTTTAAAGATTGGTACCTGAGCTAAGAACTGCTGCCAATCTTTTCTTTTCTTCTGCTTTTTCTCCCCAAATCCCCCCAGTACACAGCTGTATATTCTAGCTGTGGGTCCCTCCAGCTGTGGCATGCGGGATGCTGCCTCAACATGGCCCAGCGAGCAGGTGCCATGTCCATACCCAGGATCCGAACTGGCAAAACCCTGGGCCGCTGAAGGGGAGCACATGAACTTAACCACTTGGCCACGGGCCAGGCCCTAAAACTTCATATTTAAATTGTTCCTTGCAAGTCTATAGAGTATGTGTGTGTGTGTCTGTAAATATATATATCCTGAGGGGCTGGCCCCGTGGCCGAGTGGTTAAGTTCGCGCGCTCCGCTGCAGGCGGCCCAGTGTTTCGTTGGTTCGAATCCTGGGCGCGGACATGGCACTGCTCATCAAACCACGCTGAGGCAGCGTCCCATATGCCACAACTAGAAGGACCCACAACGAAGAATATACAACTATGTACTGGGGGGCTTTGGGGAGAAAAAGGAAAAAATAAAATCTTTAAAAAAAAAAAAAATATATATATATATATATATATATATCCTGAACTTGGGTCCTGGAAACTTGCTAAATTATTGATTCTGATTTCCTATGAAACACAATCATGCTGTCTACAAACGAGGACAGTTTTACTTCCACTTTCTAATGCCTGTATCTTTTCTTCTTCTTGTCTTACTGTGCTCACCTCTGTCACAACATTGAACGGAAGTCGTGAGCTTTCACCTTGCTGACCCCTGATCTTAAGAGGGAAAGCTGGGCTGGCACCATGGCCAAGTGGTTAAGTTCACGTGCTCTGCTGCGGCGGCCCAGGGTTTCACCCGTGTGGATCCTGGGCACGGACACAGCACTGCTCGTCAGGCCATGCCGAGGCGGTGTCCCACGTGCCACAACCAGAAGGACCACAACTACAATATATACAACTATGTACAGGGGGGCTTTGGGGAGAAGAAGAAAAAAGAAGAAAATGATTGGCAACAGATGTTGGCTCAGGGCCAATCTAAAAAAAAAAGAAGAGGGAAAGCGTATAGTCTTGAACTATTAAGTGTGGGGTTAGCTGTAGGTTTGTGTAGCTATTATCAGATTGAGAACGTCTCCTTCCAGTTTGCTGAGATTTTTTTAAAAATTAGGAATGGGTATTGAATTTTGTCAAATGTTTTTTCTGCCTCCATTGGGTTGATCACCTGACTTTCCTCCTTTATCCTGTCACTGCAGTAAATCATACGAATTGAGTTCTGACTTTTGAACCTGACTTGTATCCATGATACATTATCCTTTCATGTATACTTGTGAATTTGATTTGGTAATTTTTTTTTCTTTTTTTAAAAATTGAGGCCTAACTGACGTGTATCATATTTGTTTGGCAGTATTTTGTGAATGACTTTACATCTACTTTGACAAGGGATATTGGTCTGCAATTTTATTTTCTGGAATGTTCTTGCAGCAGTTTGGTATCAGAGTCAAGCTGGGCTCATGGAGTGAACGGGGGGCTCCCTCCCAGCACCAGAAGATCCTTCTCCTCTTCTGTTTTCTGAATGAATTTCTGTAAGGTTGGTATTACTTCTTCCTTAAATCTTCGATAGGATACATCAGTAAAGCCATCTAGCTTGACTTTTCTTTATGGAAAGTTTTAAAATTACTAATCTAATTTCTATTTATAGTTTAAGTATCTGTAGGATCCACAGTGATGTCTCTTCTTTCATTCTCAATATATTGGTAATCTGTATTTTCTTTTCTGTGTTAAGTCAATCTTGCTAGAGGTTTGTCAATTTTATTTCAAACAATCAATTCTCGGTTTTGCTGGTATTTTTCTCTTTTCTGTTTTAAGTCAATCTTGCTAGAGGTTTGTCAATTTTATTTCAAACAATCAATTCTCGGTTTTGCTGGTATTTTTCTATTGACAGTCCATTTTCAATTTCAGCATCTTTCACTTTTCATTTCTTTCATTTTATTTACTTTGTGTTTATTTTGATATTACTTTAGTAACTTTTAAAACTGGAGACTTAGATAATTGCTTAGTTTCTTCTCTTATGAGCTTTTAAAGCCATACAATTTTACTGTAAACTCTGTTTTATCTAAATTCCACAAATTTTGACATATCATTTTAATTGTCATTGAATTAAATATTTTTGGAATTTCTTTTGTGATTTTTTTCCGCTTGGTTGCTTAATTTCCAAATATTTTGGATTTTCAACATGTCTTACTGATTTCTAATTTAATTCTGTGTGGTCATAAAACATACCCTGCATGATTTCAATCATTTGAAATTTATTCAGATTTGTTTTGTGGTCCAAACTATTGTCTATCTAGCACTTTAAAAGAATGGTGACTCTGCCACTGAGTGTAGCGTTCTGTAAATGTCAGTTAGATCAAGTTGGTTAGTACAGATTACCCCTAGTTCTATCAATTTCTGAAACAGAAGTTAAAATCTCCAACTGCAATTGTGGATTTGTCTATTTCTCCCTTTATTTCTGTCAGTTTTTGCTTCATGTATCTTGAAATTCTGTGATTGGGGTAAAAACATTCAGGATTGTTATATCCTCCTGCGAAATGACCTTTTCGCCATGTGTGCAAATCGCACTTGCATTGACTCAGGTTCATGACACAAATGCCCGAACAACAATGTTCCACGAGAGCTCTTCTACCAAAATTCAGATTTAACAAACAACAAGAGAAATCACATCCTTTTGCTTAAAGCTGGAAACAAAGAAGCTAAGTTTTAATGTTGAACAACACAAGCGCCAGAGTTAAAGGACCTCCCAAGTTGATATGGATGCTGGGATCTGGGACCCCCACACATGACAAATGGCATCACACCTGTTGTGACAGTGGACATGGCACCCTCCATGTAAGTGGACATCAGCCCTCCCAGGACAGAGGATCCCAGTTGAGAAGCCACACCTTCCAGCAAAGCTCATGCCCTCTGGGGGAAGAACAGAGTCGCCAATCCTTCTGAAACACGAGTACACATCCTGTGTCAAGCTCTTTACATTCAGAGCATCCGCTACCAACAGCCCTGTCTGAGGCCCATTCCTCCCCATTCCCCAAAGTGAACAGTGTTATGGCAGCGAGACACCACGGGGACACACACTTGTAGTTGTGAGAAAAATGTAAAATGCACATGCACCTGCACACGCATGCACACAGAGACGCACACACACACACACGCATGCACAGTTCAAACTAACTCTCCATCACTCTTGCTGCATTTCCCCACCTCTCCTGCCCGTCCCCAGCAGTCAGCCTAGCGCACACCCAGCCACAGTGGCTCAGGCCGGCAGCCTCGGAGCCTGAGGGACCCCTGGGCTGTGCCTGACGAAAAGAGGGAGAGAGGGAGTGCATGGCCTCCCTGTGCTGCCCCAAGTAGGGGGTGTGGCTTAACTGCTGTCCATGGCTGCCCTCCCCTCGTTGCGGGGAGGGGGGTTGTCCCCAGCCCCCGCCATCAAGTCAGAGGTGTGCAGGGCTCACCGTGAGAGTCCTCTCAGCTCAAAGCAAGCGAGAGCAAGACTTCAAAAGGACAGCCACACTGGATTCTACCTCACTTTAAAACTGCGAGAAGAGATACTTGGCCCCACCCTGGGGACCCTGGTCCTCAGACCCAGAGATGACCTTCCACGAAGGTCCCCCATACTTCTGGATTTCCTGCCTTGGGGCAGAGACTCAGCCTGGTCACCTGTCTGCCCCCGACCCCGGCCTGGACCTCGGCCGGCCCCCAGCGTCTGGAGCCTTGGGACCTACGTACTCGAGGACAGAGTGTGTGGCCGCCTTCGGGTGGTAGCGGTAGATGAGGAGGCTCTGGTCCACTCGGACGACCCCGCCGCCCTTCCTGAGGTGGCTGTAGAAGAAGAGCAGGTCCTCGGGCACACCCTGCAGGCAGGAGGAGAAGCATCAACTGTCGCGGGCGTCTCTGCTCACGGCGGAAATGCACCCGTGCCCCATGCGTTCTGTGTGCACTCTAACTCAGGTGACCGGAGACGGGAATCCGCCTGGGGTCCTAGGCCGTCCAGCTCGATACACGGGGCTTCAGCGCATGAGTGACATGCCAGCGCCACCAGCACATGGATGTTGCTGGGCAAGAGTGACCATACGAGACAAGACGGCGCCAAAGGGGCCGAGAGAAGCCCCACGTGACCCTTGCTCGCGGCCTCCAGCTTGAGAAGCACCCGCCAACAGGGGCTTGACTCCGACGGGGCCCGCAGAGCTTTACATGGGTGCTCCTGTCCCGTGAGAGCTCAGGCCCCCTCCCCGAGTCTAGAGAAGACAACAAAGGGGCAGCCCGCCCTCCGCTCATCAGGGCCGGGCATCGGGGCCTGCGGCCGCCCTGCTGCCCCTCAGGCCAGCCTGTCTCAGCCTTGAGAACAGACAGCGAGTCAGCTCCCCCAAACTTTCTTACATTCAAAGCGACAATCGAGTGAGCAGAAGGGTCTGAGCCATGCTCTCCCCTGGCTCCCAGCAGCAGCCGCTGAGGTGAGTCCAGCAGGTGGAGCCATTGACGGCCAGTGCCTGGCCTCAACGTCGCCAGGATGCATCACTCCAGGCAAAGGCTGGTCTTCTGACAGTGTCGTGGCCATCGCTCACTGACCGGCCTGTGCTGCCTCCTTGGCCAGCTCTCCAACCCTGAGCTTGGTTCAGACACGGCAGTGCCAGGGCCACAGCCGCTTCCAACAAAGCCACAGCTCCTTAACCCTGGCTCCCTGGCTCTCCAGGCCGGCCGTTTCCGAGAGGAAGGCGGCACAGAGCCTGGCCCAGTCACCCTGCGGCGAGACGGGACCCTTGTGGGATGGCACCTCCTCGCCAGCTCCCGAGGCCCAGGCCGGGCCTGTTTGCAGGGTCAGCGATACCAACACAGCTTGTCTGCTGCTCCTGGGCCGAAGACGATTCAGAAGAGAGCCACGGCTTCCTGGTCAGGCCCGGACACTGCCTGAGCGCCGCCCCTGGGGCAGCGGACTCGCGAGGTTCCTGACTCATTCTCAAAGTCAGCCCTGAAGCGCTGAGGTTAGCGCCCAAGTTGTCTGCCCTGTCATTTTATAAGCCACCGCCAACCTCTGGGCGTGTGAGCCGAGATTGGAAGGTCACCCTCACGGGAGCGAGGCAGAGAGGGCTCACCCGGGAAAAGGCCCCAGCACAAACCCCACCATCACAGGGCGGTCCTGAGAGGACATGGAACGGACGTCTCGTTGCCAGCATCCGGGGCTTCGCAGACCAGCGCACAGTGACTCAGTGGAGTACCGTGCAGTAGCTGAAGTGGCTTTTACAAAGACCATGACGATGTGAAAACATCTACAACAAAACACTACGTTGGAGATCAAGTTTCAAAACTGTGTCGCAGCTCTGCTGAAGCTTGTCCACAGTGAACGCAGACACAGCTCAAAGCAGTTGTGAGTGATGGGCTCACGGCGATTTCTGTATTTTTCTTTTTTCCAACTTTCTGCACTTTCAAGGGTGCCTTTAAAGAGCACACTAACCCTGAGCACTTCATGGGTTTAGGAAAGAGAGAAAGATGTTCTCTCCTCTCATGACCTGGAAGAACTCAATCCTCCGAGTTTCCTTATTTCTGGCAAAAAGAAAAGTGAGGATTTATTTAGAGGAGGCACGGGCACTGCTGCTCCTGCAGGTGAAGGGGTCTGTCCCACTTAGCGCCCTCACCACCTGGCCAGTGCCCCAGCGCCAGCAACCAGCTCCCTGACAGGCGCCGGTTCATTTCATGAAGAGCCCAGCTCCCCTGATCCCCTGACTAGCTGGAAACTGCACCAGAGGCTGCAACGGGAGGAAAAAGGCCACGCGGCCTGGAGAGTCAAGGAAGGTGTGGGTAACTGAGAGCAAATACCCCATGGAGACGGGGTGTCCACGCTGCGGGGGGAACACGGGAGCTCTAAGCTGGAGTCACCCTGGGAGGGACGTGCCCCCGGTGCACAGGGGGTCCCGGTGGGTGAGAAGGTGGCTGGGCAGGGCAGGAGCACCCCCAAGGCCTGGTGACAAGGGACCCCAGGCTCCTGGAGGACAGGAGGCACCACCCCTCCTCCCGGCCCCTCCCAACACACTCCAGGAAAGCCGCTGCACTTCACTGCAGGGACGGAGGGGGCGGCACGAGTCAGGAGTCGTGCAGACTGCCCGACAGTGCCGAGAACGCACGGGTGGACGTATTTACCCACATGGAGCCCGTGTCAGAAGAACAGAAGACCAAACACTTCCGTGGATGCAAACCCAACCCTCCCCCAAAACAAGAGCAACCACCAAACCCCAAGCCATGGGGCAGCTGACGCGTGAGGACAGTCCTCCATACGAAACCGCACGTTCACAGAACACGGTGCAGAACTCGAGGAGGCCCCTCTCAAGCCAGAGACTCAGTGCCAAACAGGCAGATGTGCACGAGGCCTGAAGACAGCAGGGGAGCGCTCGGCCACCCGGGGACGACGCAACTCTCACGGCGTGGGGCTTCCTTTGGGACAAAACGGTTCTAACATCAGATCGTGGTGATGGTCGTACTTCCCTGCGAATTTCTAAAATACACTGAGCTGCACGTTGTAACAGGTGAATCGTATGGTATGCGAATTATACCCCAATAAACCTCTTAAATAAAAGAGGATTGGCTAAACTCAAAAAAGAGATGAAGACTAAATTACAAGGTCCTCAAAGGAAAACAGATTTGAATAAAACTAAGGACACTGAAGAAATGTAGGAAAATAAATAAGAAAATAAAAATTATATAATCAAAGAAGTAAAAAGGGTTAGAGAGAAAGTTGTTGAAATGGAAGATGGTCATAGAGAATCCAGCCAGCGTGTAACCAGAGTCTTAGGGCCACAAAGACAGGGACTGGGTGGGACACGCCTCTACGAATGTTTATCTTCTGACACAAGTGGAAATCATGCAGCAAAACATGGAGGAGACGGGAAAGAGGGAAATAGAATGAGCTCGTTGGTTGTTGTATAGACAATGGGTGGGAGTCAAAATACCTTTAAAAACTGAAAAAAGGCAGAGCAGAAAAGCTTTCAGAAGAATGCACAGGATGGATAGAGACACCTCTAGACCAAGACAGAGACCTCTTTCAATGCCAAGAGAAATTTAAAACACAAGGGCAGGTGATGGCTTCCGGCTCTGGCTGGCTGAGCGTGCGGCCTTGTAGGAGGTCTGTACCCATGAAGAAGGCCAGGGCCTTCAGGGGTGGGGGGACCAGCACAGACTCGCGGGGTGGGCGGGATGAAGTGGACAAAATCCTACCGTTCCCAAGTCCTCAGGACAGAATTTGGGACGAGCAGGACAAGCGGAAGTGAGGGGAAATCTCAGAGACCAAAATGGGAGAAAACACCCACCCCACATACCCAGCAAAGAACACCAACAATTCAACAATAAAAACAACCCCCTTAAAAGTGGGCATAAGATCTGGACACCCCACAAAATAACACACAAGTAGCCAATCGGCACATGAAAAATTGCTCAGCATCGTTAGTCATGTTGGAAACGCAAATTAAAACATAACGAGAAGCCACAGAACTCCGGCCAGAAAGCTGCCCCTGGAGGGACAGACACCAGCCACTGGAAGACGGCCGAGGACGGGCCGCCATGCCTGGGATGGAAACGCATAAAACCAGCAAGCACCCTTGTGCTGCAATTCCAGGCCTGGGCTGCTTCCCAGCAGACTCGAAAGCTCGTCTGGGAGCTCTGTCGTGCTGGGCGGCCGTCCTTCCTGGCCACCCGTCCCCCTGCGGCAGTGACAGCCCCCTCCAGGCCGACCCGCCCAGGCCAGGCCTGCCCTCAGCGGAGCTGCATTCTGAATCTACAAAACTTTTCTTCCTGTTTAAGGGCCTGAAGGGCTGCCTCCTGGGGGCCCAGCAGCTGAGGCTGTTTACCACGGCTGGAGGCCGTCCTCGCCACCATCACACCACCTCCGAGTCTCAGACTCACCTCCGCACGCTGCCTCTGCGAGTGCGTTTCCCGCTAGAAACCCGTCCTGCCCTGTGGCTCGCGAACACCGTTCCCACGCCCCACGGCCAGCTCATCCTCCGAATCCTGCTGCCACCCGGACCCCTGCTGCATCACCTGGACATTGACTGTTCCCTGCTTCGGGCACGCGCCCTTCTCTCCACAGGGCACGAAACACAGCCGTGGTTCTGCACAGGCCTTGGAGGGACCTCGATGCCTCCCTAAGGCCAGGGAGGAGTTGAGGGGCGGTGCCCACACTCAGGCCCAGCTCTCAGGGCGCCAGTGTCCACCTCACAGGGCACACCATGAACAACTGTTCAGCTCAGCCTGTTTCTTTGGAGAGGGCCTGAAGGAACCATGGGAACACTTCACGTCCTCGTCCTGACGGTGAACTCTGCTGCCATCTGTGACATGCCTCCTCACGCCCCAAGCCCTCACCTGCTCCAGCTATGACCCCATCACAGCCCTGGTCCTGGTGCCTGATCCCTGATCTCTGCTCCCTGGTCCTTCATCCCTGGTCTCTGGTCTCTGGCCCCTGATCTCTGGTCCTTGGTCCCTGAGCCCTAGTACAAAAGGAGGGAATACACCTTTTTTTCCTCCAGGAGCTTCCTCTCCAGGCAGAATTAACTTGAGCTGAGTCCTGACATGCTTCCGAATCTAAGGATGCATCAAATCCTTAAAGCAGTGTCTCTCATGGAATGTCTCCTGGTGACCATTTCTGCAGGAGACCATGAGCAGCAGGTCCTTGGATTCAGCTCCAATAAGAGCAGTGGTTTTCGTGGCACCTGCTTGGAGTTAGGGAGCCTTGCTGGGGTGTCCCTTTGCCCACGTTGTTGTCTTACTTTCAGGGAGAAAGCAAGCTGAGAGGCCACCCCACCTGGAAAACAAAGCCTTGGCCCCTGCAGCCCCTGGTGGAGCGGGGGTCCCTGGGGTGGGGGCCGGATCCCTGGGTGCAGGGTGGTGCCACACGTGCACAAGCTCTCTCCACTCATGTGTATTTGGGGAGAAACAGGAACACAAGATGGTGCCCGACAGGCTAAAATTGTGAGTTGTGACTCCTCCAAGAGAATGACCAGGCCTCCCATCCCAGCTGCATGGGGAGAGGGGAAGGTCAATTGGGAACGGGGCAATCACATGTCCACCAGGCGTGGCCTCGGCCAGAGACAGGAGGAGCGCAGTAGGCCCACGGCAGAAACGCTCCTTGCTTGGGCCAATCCTGGGCCGCAAGGGCTGTGTGACCTTGCTAGTGGCAGCCTGGCATGGTGGCAGACCCGCTGGGCGGCCAGTCCCTGGCGCAGACACTGATGGCTGGTCTCTCAGGTGATCTTGTTTATAAACTCCTGGGGGGCATGTCCGGGTGGCTGTGAGGGGCTGTCTGGCCAAGGCAGTGTGGGGGACGGCAGAGTGGCCAGCCTCTCCCTCCAAATGAGGCTGTGTGAACAACAGGCAGGGAGGGAGTGGTGGGGCAGAGGGATGTGAGTGGGATCAGGGAGGGGGTCGGCCCAGAGCCAAGGGTCCATGTGGCTCCTATGCAGTTGGTGAACAGTTGACCCTGCTGTCAAGAGGATGGAATGAGGCTCAGAGTGAGAAAGGCTGTGGCCAAGGCCCCAGGGCAGGTGGTCGAGCCTGGGCCTGCGTCAACACCCACAGCTTGTGGCCTGGGCCCTCACCACCTGCCCTGGGGCCTTGGCCTAGACCCTCTGTTGGCCTTTGTGCATCCAGGCTCCCTCCTGGCCCTGGCCCAGCAGTGGGGGGGGCCACGGGCCCTCATCAGAAGTCAAAACAGCGAAGGCTTGAGGGGCCTCGACAGGCCCAGTGCACCGTCTCCCCCCATGGGGACCAGACCTCAAGTTCTCAAAGCCAATCTAAGGGGGCTCATGGGAAAATAAACTAATTGACCCTAAGAACTAGATTTTAATCGGGAGCAGGAGCAGGGACTCTAAGACTGTCTGGCGAGGGAAGAGTGGGCAGGTCAGCGGCTGGGTCCCCACTCCTAGGCCAGAGGCTAGAGACCAGGGTGAGCTGAGCTCCTGCAGGAGACAGCCCCACAAGAGGGTGAGGGTGCAGAGGAAGGAGCCAGGCTCAGTCTGGACACCAATGCCCAGGGGCTGCCTCCCCCACAGGGAAGGATGGGTTGCTCCTCTCCTGCTGTCACCCAGAGGCAGCACAGCCGACACCGTCCACATTCTACCCTTTCCCACAAAAAGCTTTCAGACTAGGATGAGGTAACCTGGGGCCTGGGCCAGGGCAGGTGCGACTCAGGCGTCCTCAGCCTTCACACAGAAATCCCCTGCTTTCTGCAAAACAAACACGGTGCTCTCTGGGCTTCTCAGCACGGCAGGGCAGGAGAAGTGCTGGGAAGACCTTCACGGAAGGCCATCTCCGAATCCCGGGACCCCGGAAGTGCCCACAGGGTAGGGCTGGGTGCGGGGACCCACACAGGAGGTGACAGCGCCTCCTCCCACCCCAGAGGAGGAATCCACAACGGGACCCACACTTACCTGCCCGCCCTCGTCAAAGGGGCCCACATGGGAAAACCACTCTCGAGAGCAGAACCAGGTGGGCATGACGACAGTGGGGCCATGGGAGGTGAACACCTAGAAGCAATTAATATGGAAGAATTAACAGAGAAGAACAGCTGGGCACACAGTGTGCAATTTATTTCCCACAGAGTGTCATTCAGAGAGCAACCAGCGATTTCGAGGTCCCCTCTTGGTAGATGCAACGATTCATGAGATATTACAGCCAGATCAACGGAGTCCGGCCACCAGAGAACAGAAGGGGGAGGGGCCAAGAGGAAATCAGTGGACAAATCCAGCCAACCCCGGGCCCCTCTTTCGGGATAACGCTCATTCCAGCCCGAGTCCTTCTGGTGGGATAACGCTCATTCCACCCGAGTCCTTCTGTCGGTATAACGCTGATTCCACCCCTAGTCCTTCTGTCAGGATAACGCTCATTCCAGCCCAAGTCCTTCTGTCGGGATAACGCTCATTCCACCCTGGGCCCGTCTTTCGGGATAACACTCATTCCACCCCGAGTCCTTCTGTTGAGATAACGCTCATTCCACCCCAAGTCCTTCTGTGGGGATAACGCTCATTCCACCCTGGGCCCTTCTGTCGAGACAACGCTCATTCTACCCCGAGTCCTTCTGTCGGGATAACGCTCATTCCAACCGGAGTCCTTCTGTCGGGATAACGCTCACTCCACCCGGAGTCCTTCTGTCGGGATAACCCTCATTCCACCCGGAGTCCTTCTGTCGGGATAACACTCATTCCACCCCAGGCCCTTCTGTCGGGATAACGCTCATTCCACCCCAAGTCCTTCTGTCGAGATAACGCTCATTCCAGCCCGAGTCCTTCTGTCGGGATAACGCTCATTCCACCCAGGGCCCTTCTGTCGGGATAATGCTCATTCCACCCCGGTCCCTTCTGTCGGGATAACGCTCATTCCAGCCCGAGTCCTTCTGTCGGGATAACGCTCATTCCACCCCGAGGCCCTTCTGTCGGGATAACGCTCATTCCACCCCGGACCCTTCTGTCCAGATAACCCTCATTCCACCCCGAGTCCTTCTGTTGAGATAACGCTCATTCCACCCTGGGCCTTTCTGTCGGGATAACGCTCATTCCACCCCGAGTCCTTCTGTCGGGATAACCCTCATTCCACCCTGAGTCCTTCTGTCGGGATAACGCTCATTCCACCCGAGTCCTTGTCGAGATAATGCTCATTCCACCCCGGGCCCTTCTGTTGGGATAACACTCATTCCAACCGGAGTCCTTCTGTCGGGATAACGCTCACTCCACCCTGAGTCCTTCTGTCAGGATAACCCTCATTCCACCCCTAGTCGTTCTGTCGGGATAACGCTCATTCCAGCCCGAGTCCTTCTGTCGGGATAACGCTCATTCCAGCCCGAGTCCTTCTGTCGGGATAACGCTCATTCCACCCCGGGCCCTTCTGTCGGGATAACGCTCATTCCAGCCCGAGTCCTTCTGTCGGGATAACGCTCATTCCACCCCGAGCCCTTCTGTCGGGATAACGCTCATTCCACCCCGAGTCCTTCTGTCGGGATAACCCTCATTCCACCCTGAGTCCTTCTGTCGGGATAACGCTCATTCCACCCGAGTCCTTGTCGAGATAACGCTCATTCCACCCCGGGCCCTTCTGTTGGGATAACGCTCATTCCACCCGGAGTCCTTCTGTCGGGATAACGCTCACTCCACCCTGAGTCCTTCTGTCAGGATAACCCTCATTCCACCCCTAGTCCTTCTGTCGGGATAACGCTCACTCCACCCTGAGTCCTTCTGTCAGGATAACCCTCATTCCACCCCTAGTCCTTCTGTCGGGATAACGCTCATTCCAGCCCGAGTCCTTCTGTCGGGATAACGCTCATTCCACCCCAGGCCCTTCTGTCGGGATAATGCTCATTCCAGCCCGAGTCCTTCTATCAGGATAACGCTCATTCCACCCCAGGCCCTTCTGTCGGGATAATGCTCATTCCAGCCCGAGTCCTTCTATCAGGATAACGCTCATTCCACCCCGAGTCCTTCTGTTGAGATAACGCTCATTCCACCCTGGGCCTTTCTGTCGGGATAACCCTCATTCCACCCGGGGCCCTTCTGTCGGGATAACGCTCATTCCAGCCCGAGTCCTTCTGTTGGGATAACCCTCATTCCACCCCGAGTCCTTCTGTGGAGATAACGCTCATTCCAGCCCGAGTCCTTCTGTCGGGATAACGCTCATTCCACCCCGGGCCCTTCTGTCGGGATAACGCTCACTCCACCCTGGGCCCTTCTGTCGGGATAACGCTCATTCCCCCTCAGGCTGTTCTTGGAAACGGTAGATCTCTGTCTACTGGTCACTGGGCTTTCTCTGAACCCAGAAAATGCCTGTGGCTCCCTGTCTGACAGTTTCATAACTTGCACTTCGCTGGGGACGAGGGGCCTGTGGGCTGCTGGTGCAGTGAAGCACGACATGCAGACACTTATCCCCGTTTTAAACAAAATGAGCCAGGTTGCGGTGGCTCCACAATCTACACACTTGTGTTAAAACTCACAGAGCTGCACAACAAAAGGGAAAAACAGTGAATTTTACCATGTTAGTTTTAAACAAAATGAGCCAGGTTGTGGTGGTTCCACAATCTACACACTTGTGTTAAAACTCACAGAGCTGCACAACAAAAGGGAAAAAACAGTGAATTTTACCATGTTAGTTTTAAACAAAATGAGCCAGGTTGCGGTGGCTCCACAATCTACACACTTGTGTTAAAACTCACAGAGCTGCACAACAAAAGGAAAAAACAGTGAATTTTACCATGTTAGTTTTAAACAAAATGAGCCAGGTTGCGGTGGTTCCACAATCTACGCACCTGTGTTAAAACTCACAGAGCTGCACAACAAAAAGGAAAAAACAGTGAATTTTACCATGTTAGTTTTAAACAAAATGAGCCAGGTTGCGGTGGTTCCACAATCTACACACTTGTGTTAAAACTCACAGAGCTGCACAACAAAAGGAAAAAACAGTGAATTTTACCATGTTAGTTTTAAACAAAATGAGCCAGGTTGCGGTGGTTCCACAATCTACGCACTTGTGTTAAAACTCACAGAGCTGCACAACAAAAGGGAAAAAACAGTGAATTTTACCATGTTAGTTTTAAACAAAATGAGCCAGGTTGCGGTGGCTCCACAATCTACGCACTTGTGTTAAAACTCACAGAGCTGCACAACAAAAGGAAAAAACAGTGAATTTTACCATGTTAGTTTTTTTAAAAGTACATATTTTCTAGTTTAAATGGTTTTTCCACACATAATGAGGCCTAGGATAGGGCACATATTTGCAAAAAAAACCTCTTATGCACACACGTTCCTCACTATATAGAAATGCACACAGATGTACGTGCACTCACACTCACGTACACACACAGACACGCAAGCAGTGGCCAGCAGCCTCTCTAGTCCATTACACTGTCCGACATGAAGACTGACAAGGGGGGACAGGCCACTGTGTGGAGACCAGCTCTGGGGCCGTCTCCATGCACTGGGCCCCAGGAGCTGTGGGGTGGACATGGTCCCTCCCCGAGAAGCCCAGACCCTTGTGTTCTCTGCTCACTCCAGACCCTCACGTCCCTCTGTGGAAACGATGCTGGCCCCAGATGACCAGGGAGAAACTGCATTTGTGGAAATTTTTCTTTGACGACACAGGGAAGAAATGAGGTGGGGCAGTCAAGGGATGCTGTGATTTCTCAGAGCAGGTCTCCAGGCGCAAGGGAGCCCCTGTCCCCACGGAGATGGGGGAAGGGAGCAGGTCCACCTGGAGACGCCAGCCGAGCCGGGAGAGGCGTGAGCCAGGGCCACTTGGGCGTGCTGGGTGTTTGGTTTAGGTTGTGGTTTCCAGCAGGACGGGACTTGAGAGGGTTTCCACAGCCCCTTTGATACGGACCCTGATATCAGTTTCCCCACATTAAACCCAGCATATATGGGGTTAAAACCAAAACACTCATTCCCTGCTTACTCTCTGGCTTCCTGGCTCCAGAATCCACCATCCTCCATGGAGAGAGACACAGCCAAGGACAAGCACCTGGACTATCTCCTCCCTGCAAAGAGACACAGTGGGTCTCTTTGACTGGTGGGGAAGCTGCTGACCAGGAAGGTCACGGGCTCCCCCCTCTCTGCAAGTGTCTCAAGGCCAAAGACAGGCTGGTGAGAAAGCTCCCACCAGCAAGGCCATATGCTCCTACCTAAAACCCCAAATAAAAATCCTTCCTTTTAGCTTTTCGGGGAGTTTGGGATTTCAGCGTTAGCTGCCCTCTCCTTGCTCAGTGCTGTGCAATAATAAAATTCCTACTTTCTTCCACCACCCCTCGTGTCAGAGATTGGCTTGCTGTGCAGCGGGTGAGCGAACTCACTTCAGGTTCAGTACCACCTTTGGGATGTGCAGTCCCCAGTGCTGGGCTCCCTTTAAACTGCAGTCACGTGGACTACTCCCGTGCCCTGATGTGGAGAGCGCACTGCAGCAGGCACCCAGTGGGCAGCGACCTGGGCCCGCAGTGGGGCCGAGTGAGCTGCGCCCTCAGCACACGGGTCTCCCGCTTGCCCTCTAGGACCCTGACACCCGAGGGGCTGGCTCCCTTCCTTGTCCGTCCACAGGAGAGCAGGGAGGCCTGAGGGAAGATGGCACCCAGGTCCTGTCCCCATCGGCCTCCGGCCAGCTGACCCAGGAACGCAGTAGAGCCCTCAGGAGACCGTGTCGAAGGTTCAGGAGGGTATCCTGCCTCCAAACTCCCGGGAACCCATCACAAGAAGCCTTGACCAGAACTGTCTCAGGGGAAGACCAGCCTTCCTCCACAGCGGCCCGTTTGGGCGGCGGGTGCACTCACGTCAGGTGCCCCGAGCAGCCAGGACAGGCCTCCCAGCCCTCAGCCCCCATGTCACATCAGCCAGGCCCAGGGTCGGACAGGTCAGCAAGACTCAGGGTTGGTTCCTTGGCACAGTCACTCTTCTGCCTCCTTTGCCCCCATGGGCTCAGGCCGGTCAGATGGCCCAGGATGGGCAGACAGGGTCTCCCGGCTTCTCTGGGCTTTGCCTGCCAGCCGCACAATGTCTGG